CTTCCAGCTTTTATCAGGGTACTTTTGTATTCAAATAGTTTGGTTTCCTCTGAAACCAAAACTGAACCTGTTAAATTGGGACAAATCTTGTTAACGTTGAGTAATACACCAACATTGTTTTTTTTTTTTTCTCTCAAATAGCTCTTGGAAGAGAAGGACAGTGTAAGGTTTAACCTCTTGACTCCATCTTTAACACAGCTTGATTATGTAGTTATTTTTTTCTCGCTCCCTGCTCTTAGACTGTTGTTAAACTATCTACAAATGTGACTGTAGGATAATAGGAACAGTTTTTTTGTGCTTATGTCTATAAGGGAATTTGTAGTGTTGCAGGAGCACGTCACAGTTCCTCTACTGAAAGGACATTTTAGTAATTTCCACTAGATAATAATACAATGAGAATCACCAGCAAGATAAATCCTTGTTTTCTTTGCATTTCAAAATCTGTCAAGGTAATGCTGTCTCATGTCCACRGAACTTTCTATAGAAAATCTCAAAGAATTTACTAATCTGTTTAAATTATCTATCGAAAGTCTACAGAGACAGACARCTAAAAGCTGAAGTGCCTGTACAGCCCAGAATCTCACCACCAACTGAGCAAGTTGAACCAATTACCTGACTTCTTTAATTGGGAAGCTCCACACAAAGGAATAAATTTGCCCTGAATRCTAATGAAGACCAGAACTGATGTAGTAGGACCAGGTCTTCAGTCTGTATGTAAAATCTGGGGAAACTGAAGTTGGTGTGTTGTGACACCTATTTACTCTACAAGAACAGCAATGTTTACCTTTCTTTTCATTATTATTTTGAACATAGTTGTAATAGGCTACAAATAAACTTGTAAAACAGATTTAGAGAAAGGTGTCTGACTCTGGGCAACTACTAGACAAAGTAAATGTAATTGAAGTGCAGTTGACCAAAAATTTGATCTGTTGCACTCTATTTAAAAAGCAAGTTGCAGAAACTGTCATCCAACATTTTGTGGTTGTATTACATCATGGCTGTTTCAGTTAATTTTAGACTTCAGTTTAAATTCCATAAAAAGCTCCATTTGGCTGCAAAARAGAGAGTAAGCAGTGATTATAATCACATTATCACCACATCTCCTGGCCTGTGTGACTCCCTGCTTCCAGATGGCCAATTTCTGTCTTTTCCCATATRCTGCCTGCTGTAACTTATCCGGATGTTGGCTGCTGGGAACACTTTCTGCTGTCAGATCTTTCTGCTGCAGAGGTTCTTGTGAACCTTCTGGAACAGCATGCTCAGAGTTCCCCCACAYTATGCCTGTGATTACGTCTGCATGACAGTGGGACTCTGTGGTTATCAGTTACTGCACACTGTGCTCTGATTTTATTTCCTGCAAGTCAGAGACTACCATGGTAAAATGATTTTAGTGGCTTGAATTTCTGCCTTATTCATTAATGATTCCCATGTCATCTTGTTGAGAGGGACGTGGTCTTGAATGTTATGATTAACCCACACTATCTGTGATAAAAAGTAAAATCGAGTCTCTTAAAGTTAACTGCTATTTWAAAGCAGCTGAAATTGTCATGATACTAAATAAAAAACTCAGTCTCTTAGGTTCTTAGTCCTAATATAACATATCCTTTAATGAAAAGATGCAAGTGTTTTCTTCCTTTCTGGAAGTTAAGAAAAGGAACATTATAAAGCATTAAAGCTTTTAATTTTAGATTTGCAGRTCTATGTAATAGCTTCAACCTGATTTTTTTTTAAAGATTTAATAAAAGCTGGGGAAAAGGGATCTCGTAAGAAATACCCAGATAAAATGGCAGGGAAAGAAAAATTGATTCAATCACATTTAGATTAGCAAAACAGATGACACTTTTCATTGGTACAGATTATTCAGGCACTCACAATGGTGGTAGTGATGTAAGGTATAATTGAGAGTGCACTGAGGTTAAGGAAACATGGTAAATCCCATTTATGACATGCTGTTCTGCTGGTGAGGAAGTATTACAGGCTATCGTGAACAAGGACTCTTCATTGGAGTTTGCTTTTGTACTTAAGGTTGTGTGCAAATTTAAAGGGCTGTAATTCTTACATCACCACATTTCTGTCATTGAACAGATTCCAAATTTGGCATAGTGATCCTTGTGGGAGGATTCTAATTTTTTATAAAACTTCATGAAAAAGTGAAYTCCTGTAAGTTCTGCTTAAATAGAACTATTTTATAGACAGTCACTGATGAACTGAACACTTCCCTCATCTTGGCAGTTAGGTTTACAATTTTCAAATACTTAACCTCCTATTAAAACCACACCTATTGCACAGAATCATACAATCAGTGAAGTTGGACAAGACYTCTGAGGTCATTGAATCCAATCAATGACCACCACGTAAACTAGACCATGGCTCTAAGTGCCATGCCCAGTCTTGCCTGAAACACTTCCAGGGATGACAATTCCACCACCTTCCTGAGCAGTCCATGGCACTGTTTAACAATCCCTTTTGCAAAGAAATTTTTCCTTAAGTCCAACTTAACCCTTCCCTGGTACAGCTTAAGCCTCAGTCCTCTCATCCTGTCACAGTTTCCTGGGAGAAGAGGCCGATCCCCACCTGGCACAGCCTCCTGTCAGGGAGCTGTAGAGTGATGAGGTCTCTCCTGAGCCTCCTTTTCTCCAGGCTGAACAACCCCAGCTCCCTCAGCCCCTCCTCACAGGACTCGTGCTCTCTCAGACCCTTCCCCAGCTCCTTTCCCTTCTCTGGACTCACTCCAGCACCTCCCTGTCCTTGCAGTGAGGGCCCAGGACTGACACAGCCCTTGAGGTGTGGCCTGAGCAGTGCTGAGTACAGAGGGACAATCCCTGCCCTGGTCTGGGGACACGCTGTGTCACATTCAGCTGCTGTCACCAGCACCCCCAGGGCCTTTTCCCCTGGGCAGCTTCCCAGCCACGCTGTCCCCAGCCCATGGCACTGCCTGGGCTTGCTGTGACCCACGGGCAGAACTCAGCATTTGGCCTTGTTGAACCTCATCCTGCTGACCTCAGCCCATCCATCCAGCCTGTCCAGATCCCTCTGCAGAGCCTTCCTCCCCTCCAGCAGATCCACATTCCCTCCCAACTTGGTGGGGTCCATGAATTTACTGGGGGAGCACTTGATCCCCTCATCCAGATCATCAGTAAAAATACTGAGCAGGACTGGACCCAATACTGAGCCCAGAGGACACCAGGACTGCATGTTAAGTAGGCAGAATAGGCACATAAGTCCAGGGATGACACAGTAATGACCAAGCACAGCACCCTTAACCATTGCTTCAGCTTCAAACCCATCAAGTGGTTTGAAAGTATCTTCCTTGCAGGCCAGGAGACACACTGGAACTGAACTAAAGATGGTACATTCCTGAGGAAGCAGAGAGAACTGCAGTGTGTATAGGAAAAAAAAATGCACTTGACAACTGTTAGGGAAAAACTTACCAAAGAATTTCYTGGTATTTTTATCACCATGCTGGAATCGCAGGCTGTGAACTCTTTCTGCTTGGAGAGGAAGGCTTTTACAAAGGGATGCACATTGATCTGTATACAGCTCATCTGGATACAGAGGCATATAATACACTGCAAATAGTGCAGTGTCAACATTAGAAGTATTTAAGTAGTTAGAAGTATTTTTCTACATTTTTTGTTTTGCATATTAAAAAAGTAAAAGTTAAAATAGAGATGATTAGTTCTTACTAATATGGAAATCTAGACACATCAAATGTATTCTACACAGTATCACATCAAATGAGTTCAGTGGTAGCATAGGAATCTGCAGGAGGGTCCTGTCCACCTCACTTAAAGGCACAATTCCAAAAATAACAAAGTAACTTCCAGTTTCTGAGGGATGCTCTACTGACCCAKGTCTCAGCCTCAGAATGGAGTTAGTAACGACTTACTTGGAGCTGGTTACTAGTACAAAATGTAGCTGAGGAAGACAGATCTGCTGGCATCTGTCAAGAGGCACCACAGCTAAAAGGCAAAAGCAGGGTTTTCATCAACAGAGGTACTCCTCCCTGTGGGACAGCATTTCTCCCTTGACATGTTGTGTGAAGGCTGAGGTACAGGCAAAGAAGCAGCCATCCCAATCCCATACAACTCTCTCCCAGTCCTTATCGCTATCCCACAACCCTCACCCCATTTTCAAGCTCCATCTTTTTTTCTGCCAGCATCAATACCTGTATTACCCCAGTCCATGATGCCCAACTGCCTCTCTGAGCATGTAAGTACCACTTGCCATTCCTTGCTACGGCCGGAGCCAACAGTCCCTCAAAGAAACAATGGAGTGCATYAGCTGTGAGGAACAACAGTAATAGGAAAAGGCAAGTTTTAGAACACAAATGAAAAAGGRAAGGGAATCACCAACCCATGGCAGGACTCATTCACTCTATGTCAGCAGTCTCTTACTTGGAAGTTGCCTTCTTTGAGTTGTTGAACTTGTCATCTCATAGCCCAGTTTCAACCATCAAGAAGTTATTCACATTAGTCTCCACTTTCTCCTGTTTCTTTTCCAYTTCATGACTCCACTCCATGTTTGAACAATTCTGACCCTCTCTCTGGCCTCATCACCCACACATTCCTAGTAACTGCTGACTTCCAACTTCTCAGTGACTCACTGCCAGGCCATCTTATTCACTGTATTTTCAGCTATTTCATCTCAAGGCACCATCATCACATACAAATATTTTACAGAACTCCACCAGGACTGCTTTAAAAATAGCAGGGGTAACTGATAGCTTTAGTTGCTTCCAGCAAGATTAGAGACATGCCGTGTTTGCTCCACAGAAGTGTCAGGGTTGAAGGACCAGACTGCTGTAGGTGTCTGTCTTACGAAGGTTCACAGGTCTCGGCCTCTTCTCCAACCTCAGCACCTTCCTCATCCTCCYTGCTATTTGTCTGAGCCTTCTGCAAAAGTCTGGGGCCTGCCAAGCCAATAACCAGGGCTCCAATTGGAGCAGTGATCAAGATAGCCAAGAAAGCTACGGTCAGTACATCCATTCCATACTTTTCCAGTTGCTCATCTTGATGTCGTCTTGCTGTATCCAGGGCAAGAGAACCTATTGCAGCCTGCAGGAAAGAAAACATTTCTGAGATGGAGCAAATTATCTTTAGCACTGAATGAGGAAAAAAGGGGACCTATCATCAGTCAACTTTTCACAAAAACTTGACACTTTTAGTACATTCAACCCATTCATTCCTTGACCATACATAGCAAAGTAAGTATTATATTACATCTATGAGAACTATTTTCACTTGGCTACGCTTGGAATTTCCTGAGCTAATGAGTTTATCTGGGTGGTTTCCTCCTGTGAAGAACATTGCTTAGCTGCCATTTTATCCTCATTTCTGGAGAATGTATGATTAATGAAATGGGCCACTGTATTGTGTATTGCAGGTGTTAAAATGCCACTTTGAGAATGYATCCTGACAATAGTCAACTAGTAGCAGCTTCTGAAAATTTAATTCACTAATCATGTAATAAGCCTTCCTCCTGTTTTGAATGCTAACTTTTGTTTGCAAGTAATCATGCTGTTGAGGCAAGGTCTAAATGACTTGACAATCACAGAAAATAAAGGAGCAGGAATGTAGCCAGCCTGAGACATCTCTATTAATATGGCTCTCAGACTACTCCTTACCAAAATGATCACAAACTGAAACACATTCCAAGTCTTTGATGTGACTGTCCTTGCAGACACTTCATGTATAAGAGAGAAATGCTTTTACCTTTGTTTTGAGGATTCTGAGAATCAGTATGAAGGCAGCACAATCAGCAAAGGCTGAGTTAAATTTCCTGTGGTGTATGTACAATTCACTGTCATTGTTAAGAGTAAACCCAGGATGCAAGCAAAATACCTGCACATAAAAGGTTTTTCACACACTTTTCAAGCAGACTTAGAGTGTTTTAGAATATGAACTGTCAATAAACTACACCCTGCTGACATTGAGATTGAATCTAGTCCTGTTTACTGCTGTGCTAGTTACAGGGAGCCTTGCTAAGGAAATACATTTAGCCTGSAGTGAAAGTGAGGTTGGATTGTTTACCTGGACTGTGGCTTTAGGAATCCATGCCAGTGAGACAAATACCTTCTCCTTGAAATCAAACCCAGCAAAAGACACCATCAGGAATGTTGCTATGATTCGCACAACTAGGGCAATGCCTAATATAGCAACACAGAACCCTGCAACAGACAAACACTTCTCAGTATTTTTGTGCACAGGTGCTTTCGGGATTTTGAGTTTTCTGGGTCAGCCATAGTCTGCTATGTTTTAGATTTCTTTACAGAGATTCTTGCAAAGCCAGTAATGAAAACTGCATAATTTGTGAATGACCTTACCAACGGTTTCAGGCCTAAGAGATGTAACAGACACTTCTGCTCCAATTAAACCRAAAAGGAAAGGCTGAAAGATATTCCATGCAATTGCCACAATCTTTTCTATTTCCCTCTGCAATGAAAACAAAACCAATCTGTAAATTCACAAAAAGATGGCCAATAGACACAAGAGTTAAGTAATCATAGGACAAAGTGAAAATGCTTCATAAAAATTGTCCAGAATTGCTCCTCCCTCTTTGAGTAATACTAAAAGATTCAAAATCAGTTGCACACCTTTTGAAGGTCAGACTGTGTCTACCTCTCCTAGTAAATAAGGGTTTGATGCCATGAAAAGAGAAATAAAAAGCACTGATGTTCAAACAGTAACAGAGCAGTTTTCAGAGAAGARGAGGAAAATAAATCATTGTTGATTTTCAGTATTTAGAAAGAGGTAATTTCAACAGCTTTGCCATGAAGCGTCTGAGCCTTTGGAAACTGCATGCTTAAACATGTTCTTTCATTTGTAGCTGTACMGAGTCAGACTCTCCCAAGTTTCAGTCATGACCTAACTCTGGTYATGCTGCACTCAGTCAGAGGCTGCTCTTCAGGTCAGCAGCAGCAAAGTTAGCCTGAGCAAGTCTGAAATCACATACCACTAACAAGTGCTGAACTTTCCACTGCTATGTCTTGTACAAAGGCAAAACCATCTTTTCTCCTCGTATCTGAACTTTCCACAATTTTCCTAAAACGACTGCTGCCAGGATAAACAGGAATCTTCCACTTATATGAAAAGGTACACATTATATCAAATATCACTTGTCTTTTAATTAAGTGGGTTCTACAATAGCAGATGAACTTTCAGGCTGGAGTGTGTGGAAAATATAAGTGCAGTGCTCTGTCACTTAATAATCAGTCCGGGCCTAGACCCATCCTGTCCTTGGTRTTCTCTGTGGGACTGGTCCTGCAACACCTCTTGCTCTTCAGTCAATGGAATGGTAGGTTACTGTCATACAAAAACTTCTGTAACCTTAAAGAAAATGAGGTGTAAATATGCATACTTCTAAACATAATTTGCCTAATTTCTCTTTGTTATTCCACCCTTTTCATTTCTGGCAAAATTTAAAGAAAAACAACAAAAAATTGAAAACCCCTCTTTACAGGTTTCAGCCTGTTTACCACCCATTTAACTGTTCTGGGTATAGGTACAATGTTCATTGTCTGTAGACAATGTTTGCCAAGTGCCTTCCACYACAGACAGTGGGAGGCCATGGCCTTTGAGAAGCTCAGCAGGAAAACCTTGGTAATGTACTGAGTACACAGCAGGCAGACATGTCTGGCTCTATCTGAGAAAAAACACCTGAGGCCTTTGACATCAATATATTTAAGGCCAAGAAGCTTCATTCACATATCAAGAGAATTTAAACTAAGCCTTTATTGACTGCATTACTCTTTCAAGGTCCTTCCTCCTGAAACAGTTGAAAAGCTTTTCAATAGAGAGCTTGATCAGTTGTAATATCCTTAACTAGTTAAGTCTCAAGAAGAATTTTTCATGCTTTAAAAGTGGACAATCATAGTTTCTTTTCATAGTTGTAAGAAACCTTGAGATCTCAGTGAAGTCAGGGTCTACATGGGGATAATGTCATGGACTCTGCTATATCTGGTCCTTACCTTTTTCCTACTGAATGTCACAATGCTACAGCGGTGGAGAGAAAGATGCCCTCAAAACATTAAATGTAGATGGTATCAAATAAAAGAGGCAGTGAGACATAGGCAGGCACAGAAAAGCAGTGGGGCAGCAGCATAAGATGAAGTAGGCTTAGCACCAAGAGAAAGTTACTGAAAAGCAGTCTTTTCTATGGTTTTTGTATGGTCTTACATCATCATTTATTGTGCACACCCTGCTCTCTAAATTATTCAAATTACCCTAGCTGGGATTTGGGATAGGTGAGAGTGGACAATTAATGACTGTTTTTCATTTCACCCCCTCCCAAAGCACAGGGAACAAACCCGCAGGGTACTCAGGCCAGGTCCACAGCTGTATCTTGGATACCCATTTGTAAATTTTACCATGAMGTGACTGTGTATGGACACTCACAGGGCTGGGAATTAAAAGCTTTGGATTGCTACTGTCAAGTGCCTTCACAACTAAGTCTCTGTCACATAGCTTRAAGTATCTAAGAAAAGCTGAGCTTTTTTCTATCAGTATGCCAGGCTCTGTATTGATATCTACTGACATACATGGTAACCTTCTGACATGGTAAATGCTAAGGACTCCTAAAATGAATGCAAAATGTGCTGCTTGGTGGGTTTTTTGTTTGTTTGTTTTTTAAATCTGTACACCCTCTAACACATCACAAATAGACCATTAGCTCTCCTCACAGAAGTTGAAGCTCCTGTCAGGCTGTACATTCACCAAACTTTAGATATGGTATGCTTCTTATATAAAMATTCACCTTTTCATCAGACCATCCCACACCTGCAACAAAAGCTAAGACTAACGTGCAGAGCCCTCCTGATCCAGGGAAGCCAAAGTAGATGCTGCCAAAAACAGCAAACATGGACAGTCCAAGTACAAAATATGATCTCTTCCATGCCAGAGATGCCTGCAGCCAAGGAGACAGACAAACAAAAACGTAAGTTTCGTTCAGAAATCAAGGAAAAAAGTTACTCCAGTTAATTTTGAAAATAAAAACTTGAAAAGAAAAATAAAAATGAATCATTTTGAAGGAATTWAAGCTTTCAAGCGAGAYTTGAACTGCTCAGTTGGATGAAGGATTTCTTTTTTTGGACATTAATTCCCAGGAATACAAATTTTGAAAGTGTAATGTTTTCTTTCCTCTGCCCATCCAAAACGTTACTGCCAATAGGCTTTTTTTTTTTTATCACAAGGAACATAATGCTCTGTTCTAGCAGCTCTGCCTCAATCCTGACAGCAGGATTTTCTACCTGTGCAGTCAAGTACTACTACAGTTTATCCAAYAAAAGGTGAAATCTTTGCCACCAAATGTTTTTAAGGACAGGAATGCTCTAGTTTTATTTCATTTCAGTCTCACAGCAGACAGTTATCTACCATTGTTCCTAATTTCTATCTGTTCAGCTCTTCTATCATACTTCTTACGTTATTTAATAAGAAAATTTGGTGCCACTGGGGGCCGCAGATGGTCTGAATACTGATTTTCATAGTCCTGAATGTATCGGCTTTCTTTTACAATTTTCTGTTAATTTAATTACCCATTGATAGAAAATTCATCTACCACTTTCTATAAATGCAGTTTTTATGGAAAGCAGCACATTCAAATTACACTAATGATGATTAATACTAATGATCAATCACTTAAAATCTCCAATGCATCTGCTTTATTAATTTTTAATTTTAGGCCTAYTGGATACATCTTAAAGAAGTCAATGTGTCATACATCAATCTAATAAATTATTATTTTACTGTCTGAAATGGGTATCAGACCCTTCCTCTTTTACRTGTGGACATTTCCAGTACCTTCAAGGAGAGCAGAATGGTGAGCTGGGTTCCAAAATTCCATCAGGAAGGACTCTGAGATCATACATTTTTATTGGTGCAGTAGATAAGTAAACAACTATAAAACACATCYTCACTTGATAAGTTTTGCAATCTGGAAGCTGCTAGCACTGTAAAAAGCTTTCCCTAAAACCAGCTTCACAGGAAGCTTGGAAATGAATAACTAAAGAAAACAATCCCTTAGCAAAGAATCTCTTTATTACAAAAAGGTGGGRTTTTATTTTTACTGGGTTTTTACCTGATCATGGCTTGGGAAATATCGAATAAACATTCCCAGAATTCCCCCAGTGGCTATGCCAACAGCAACCTCCAGCACTCCACGGAGCACRTTGTACAGAGTGGAACCTATTTTGGCAAAAGAAAAACAGGTTCAGTGAGCCATACACAGACCTTTCACTCAAACCATGCTCTAGACCTATGAGAGTGATTTCAGGACAGTGGAATTAATTACTTTAAGTTATTTGGGGCAAAGGAGTTCAGGAGGGAACCTATGGGCCTGAAAGAACTGGATGGTGCAACTTTCTTTTTCTGAAAGCTCATGCCAAGAAAGTGCAAGAGAAGTCAGAGAAAGAGCCACTGCAAGAACATTGCCAAACCCAGTGAAATTTCAAAGCATGATGTTGGGCATGCAGGGATCAGACTTGGCAGCTAAGGGTGAAGTCAGCAAAAAACATTCTCTGAAAGTTATTGTGACCCACACTAAGAGCTGAAAACRTTATACTAACTTTTGAACATGGGTAATTTCCATCTCAGGATTTAAGGCTATACATGAATTTTATAAGGAGATGCCATTAAWTTACAAACTGATTAGCCATAAAAAGCACACATTCTTCTTCACTGTTCTGCATTTCATTGTGTACACATTAACCAACGTACCAGAGGAGAAAGCCATCCCAAGGCAAGTGTTGAAGCCTGTGATAGCCAGAATGTCATCAATGCTGCCAGCTGCCATTAGCAAAGTTGGAACACCTTTCTCCACCCCATATCCCCCAGCTTGTAAAATCAGCATTGAGGGAACCACCACAGCAGGGGAGACTGCACCTAGAACAAAACTGAAAACACATAGGTCTCAAAAAGAACTAAAAAACTGCAAAATGTTCTGACCTTAATTCTKCTGAAATATAAATAAACAGATGTTTATGGAAGGTATTTTCCCTAAACTTTGCCCTCTAATTACAAGCAGGGATATTTCTATGCAGATCTGCAGGCAGCTCTTACTTTCTGCTCAACTCAATAACTTTAAAAGTAATGGGCTCCACAGACTAAAACTGGAGTCTACACTGCAGGTCAGTCCCTGATAGACACCTTGATTGTCCCATTTAGAAACCTGGTCTAGACATKCTTATGACTCAGCAGCCCATATTCTTCTCACAAAACTCGATGTGTGTCAGAGAAGGAGTTCACCCATCCTGTTCTAGTAAATAGGTCTGGACCAAGTCCGCCAATTTAGACAGAACTAGTTGGAAAAGGTCTTCTCTTCAAGCACATTCCTCTAGAATATACCATGCCATATCCTCATCCTTGACTTGTGACAGGAAGGCTCTCCCATGTGCATCTGTCTGTGAGGAAGTGCTGAATTCCAGTATGAAGACTCTCCAAATGGTGATAYAATTTTCTGTCCCTAAAGGCCCCCTGTGTTGTGGTTCAAGACTCAGGGATTGCACCATCCTTCTTCCTTCTTCAAGTGCTCAGGTCAAGAACACAGAAGAGTCATGATGCAGCCTGAAAATGTGACCTTTAAATGAGCCACAGGGACAGACATAAATGGTAAGCAAAAGACCACAGAGGCCAAGCACAGCYTCTCAACTGGCATTGAACTGAGGTTTTCCTTGGCATAGAGAACTATCCACACTTGGACCATTCAGCTGCAGCCCAAAACCAGGCACTTKTGTCAGTGAAGTTGGAAAAAGAAGAAAAGGCAGTACGTTACCCTAATATAAATCCCCATTGCCATGGCAAAYGCAGGAATAAGTAGGCAAGGACAGCAGCTGTGCAGGTTTCTGAGAGGCATGGTCCGAAAGCAAGCCGTAAACACACGCCTTTGAGCTTCTTGAGAGCCTGCAATAATAMAGGCACCAGAGTTCAATATCCTTGGCTTGACAGAGAGGAAAAACATTTACAATCTGATATGGTTTTATTAAAGAATCCTGTTTGAGCTGCATCATAGGACCTGACGTGGCCTAAGCCAGAGATAGGCCCAAACCCAACTCAATTCAGATATAAAATTTCAAGTATGGCAGTGAATCTAGGTTTGACAAGCCTCCTGTAAGACACAGGAAGGAATGACAGAAAATTCTGTTTGGCTTCTTCTTATTTGCTCCATCCACAAAARATTTTATCTATAATCCCAGAAGCTGCATGAGCACCCCCAAAAATGATTTCCAAAATCTATGAACAAATCATGAAATGTTGTAGAACTGCATAAACTTGGTATAAGGAGACAAGCATCTTTCAGCTGTCTCTCGCTTGATATTCAGAGGTTATGCTCCTTTTGGCTCAGCAACTTAAAAAAAWCCAAACTGGAATATTTACTTGTAACAGCTATCTTTAATTAGYCACAAGCATGAGTCTGCTAGGACAGGTCCCTAATTTTGACATGGAATAAAAAAWAWWWTWAAAAAAAMCCCAATGAGTTCTACTTTTTACCAYTCCAGTTTATCCCAGCATAAACAGGGCTGAGCAGAGAAAGTGACTTCTTTGTCTTTATGGTTTCAATTACATGAGGAACAATTGTAACTGCATCCAAGCATTGCCACACAGAGAGTCCAAACTACAGTTTCATAACCACATGGAAGAAAAATGAGTCAAAAATGAAGTTCCCTCAGCAAGAACATTTGTCATGAAATAGAAACAAATGCAATCTCACAGAACTGGGCATCCAAGCTGCATTTAACGACACACCTGCTCATACAGCTTCAATGTCTTGGAAAACTAGATGRTGATAATATTTGAAAATGGACATTTTTCACGATTGAAAAAACCTTAYTTTCCTAAATAACTGAAGCATTGGCAACTCTAGGTTTTCTTGGTTAAGAAAAATCAGTTTAGATRTTCTAATCTACCTGTACTTTACCTAAGTTTTATATTAACTCTAAGTGGTTCCTTGACCAGGTAGGGGCCAGTATGCTACAGCTTTACTTCAGCCAGCTCATTTTTAATAAGCAAAACMTTGCCTTCATAAATTTATAGAATATCATGTTTTGCAGGGTGCAGAGACTATTYTTTGTTCACAGGACTGTTATGGGCTTCATTGTGATGTGAATTATTGTTTCAGTAGTGCAGGAGGACCCATACTTGCAATTACCATTTGCATTAAAATGGTGATGATTAAAAAAAGTAAAAAAATTCACAGAGGGTTTACATTTTTTTGGTTGAGTTTTTTTGATTTCTGTCCACACAAAAGCATTCTCTTTCAAGGACGGGGGATCCCTTCCATTACTTTAGTTTTTCAGTGCAAACTGACAGGGRGTTTCTCAGAAAGTGTACTCTTCCTGACAGATCATGACGGAGCATACATTCTCAATTTGTGCTGCTCACAAAATTCAGGAAATGAAAATAAGAAAAAAAAAAAAGTTTTATTCAGGTTTTTTTGGACTGCTTGCCTACTGTACAGGTCCAACTGCCAATATTAACATACACATAGGAACTATGCTTTGTGTAATAATCTAATCTGCAGATGCTCCAAGACTGAGCAGTTCAATAYTTTAAAATGAATCAGTTATTCAGATTTTCTGATAATTGTTGTGTATTCTCCCTCATGCAAATGGCTGGTGCCATACCTTTGCATCCAGGCCGAGTCCTGCTCGGGTCAAGATAATGGAAAGGGCAATATTCCTCAGTGCTGCAGACCAGCGTAGSTTTATCTGGACAAGGTCACTGATGAACCAGGTATTGCGGATTAAGAAACCAGCAAGTAACATCCCTTAAATGAAAGCAAATAAGCTCCTGTCAAATTATTTTCTTTTTCTATTGCATGAGAAAATCTTGCATAGCACTCTTAAAAACAGACAAGTCACGTATTTGTGAGAGAAAAAGAAACAATGTGTATTYTGAATTATGAACCACATTTTAACAATGGGATTGATGCATGAAAAGAGATAAACACATTTAATTCAGTGAAAGTGGCCTAAGAACATACCAGGTCACCAGTTAATAAATCAGCAGGGTGCTAATACACAGCTTTAGTTTGAGTCAAAAGAATTTGCCTTTGCTCACCAGATGCATGTCATACTTACAATAAGCAAAGATGCTATGCATCCTTTAGGATTTTTTTTCTTGTTAGCTTGTTTTAACATAAAAATAGGAAGATCATCTAATATTGTGTATTTATCTCAGAAGTTGGGAATTGTTAAAAATCCTCTCATGTGTAARAAATGCAGGTATCACAGGAACCATAATGCTGCATTCATTGAGAAATACAATCTAAACCAGCTTGTAATTGGACATTTTAAAGTGCTGTGGCAATGAGACTCTTACACAAAGAGGGGGCAAAAAGAGGAAGGGAAATCAGAAACTTTGTCTTATCCTCTATTTAAGCTACTTGCAAGATAAAATMTTTTGCAAATATTAGTAAAATTGTCAAATCAGAGGCTTCCTGAAAAGCTAGTGAAGCCATAGCATTGGAAGGCTATGGAAAAGTACAGGAAAAGTTGACCTTAAGTACAGATCTACAGAGATTGTGAGTCCTGATGATTCAAAGATACATTTTTGTGGTATAATTTTGTATTAGTCATGTTTAGAAACAGGAAACAAAAAATAAACCCYAACAAAAATRAACAAATCACTGTGCACAAGTTGGTCCCAGCTTGGTGTGAGCCCTGACTGTGAACTTGACTTGTCCCAAGACACTCTAAACTTTCAGACACTGCTCTTTCCACCACCTCTTGGAAAAAAAMCAGTGTATTAATTAATCTGGGGTACCTCATGACAATTATATCAGGCTAGCACTATGATCACATGCTTTTTGCAATATTTGCATGAGGTCCAAGTCACAGAAACTACCCTGATCTAGTACTTAACATAAAAATGTCCAGCTCAAAGGGTATCTTCACTCATCTGCTCCATGCTGCYTGCTGCAGAAAACCCTAAAATACACTATGTGGCTGTTTCAGCAAAACAGAGGCCCACTATAAGGGGCTTAAGTGCTCAGCCAACCACCCTACACTCTACTGCACCTGGCAAAAGCAGGTTAAAGGCATGCAAGAGCACAAAGTTTGTATATTTAATGTAAAAACAGAATATTCAAAGACATAGTCTATCTTGTCTTCTGAGTCATAGATTCTCAAGTTTTCCTCAAACACTGGGATCAGAACAATGAACTCAACAGACATGTGCTGTCATGCTGATGTTTCTGTTGTCCWGCATTACCTGTCTGACAAGCAGTTTCATGCTCAACTCATAATTTTCAGATACAGATGTAATTAAAAAACTCCCAAAGAAACAGAATCCAAATGGTCAGAGATACTTTTATTTGTTTAAGGGGGATGTTTACTTAGAAAGGGCAGGCTYCCTGCATGTGACATTCTGTGCTCATATTGCTGCAGGCTTGCAAGCCATATGCAAAACTTCCCTCCTCTCATTTGAATTCTTTCTCTGTGGTGAAACCAAGCAGAGCAAGAGCACACAGGCTGCCTGGACGGAGCCGCACACAGAGCTCCTGTGTGAGGCACAACAGCAGCTGTGCAGAATCACAGAATTCACACCTGTGCTCTACAGACCCCCTCTGCCACGGAGTTTTACTGTCTGCCAACAGCTTTACTCATTTGTGCAGTGAGCACAGTGAGGAGACAGGATACAGCTCGTTGGAAGAACCTGGAGTCTCATTTCCAACTTCGCTGACATCACAGCACTCCTCAATATTGTACAGATCAAAGCAAATATAAAATCTCCTCTAGGAAAGAAACCTGGAAAAATTCTGAAGATGTCAGAATTACCATTACTTTCATCTCCCATTTCTATTTTGCATTTCTGTGTAAAATAAAATAGGATGTTGATGTGAAAAAAAATTATGAATGAATGAGAACAACTCTTTGCAGAAGAATTACTCCTTGTGAATTTATTTTCTCAGGTTTCCATTATCTTGAGATAAAGGAAGGAGAAGAATGAAATCCTCTGGACTACCAGTAGCGGGGAATTCCTGTAATGTTCCCTTTGGAAAATGTTTTCATTGTGTAAGATACTAATGAAACAGCTCAGCAATAATTTTGCAACAAAATAACGATTCTACTGTAAAATKATATCTAGATTAAGATTGCTGTTTGGTGTTATTATTAAGTAACTCTGACAGAAAGATATGAAGGACAATAAATTTTGAGTCTGTAGRCATACAGTTCTCTGACCCACAAAGAATTAAGAAGAGAGCCTCAGYAACAATTTCACCTGAACCAGTCTGGGGAATTTTGCACCTTTTCAGAGAGGACCACAAGAAGTCATTTGGAAAATATACAGATTTTGAGTGTGACACACTTTGTTTGTTCCCAATCCAAACATGTCTACCATACAGTTATTGCCTGATGGTTTAAACAATACAAAAAATGCAGGAAGAAAAGAAAGAAGAATATCTTACCCAGAAGAGCAGGGAGAGGGGGTAGTGTTCCTATTTTAATGAATCCAAAAATTTTACCTCCRATGACAGCAAAGAAATAAATTAACATAATTCCAAACAGATTTCCACCTGGGAGACTCTCAGCCCCAGTTATGGACCAAACCACAGCCCAAAACAGGACCRCGAATGCAACTGAAACAGAATAAGAAATAATTCATATTTAAGCATCTCCCAGAAACAACTTTTTTGTTAGATCACATTTGTTTTTCTATTACAGAAAAAAGTTACCATGAGCTTTAGAAATAAAATTACTTACCTTAAAAATYAGTTTAATYGTAACAGTGCAATGAATCTTTGATGGTCCCTAAACTGAAGGTCTGATTTTACAGGTGCTAAAATACTTCAAAATTGGTAACAGGAACATCATTAGAAATGAAAATGAATTTAGTGAGSCTTGGTGGGCTGTGACAAGCACTTCACTGGTTCCAAACTTAAAGCAAACACTTTCACTAACTTATCTTGCATTCATTTATTTTCCTTCAGCTACCTCAGAACCACAGTAAAATCTGCTGCTGAAAGGCCTGGCATATCTTCAAGCTGATGACTGCAGCTCCARTCTAATTTTTAAAACAATTGATGCATAATTTTTTGGCTGAATGTGTTTGGGCAATACACTGTTATCCCTGGGAAAAAAATTCTGAGGAGGGCCATGTCTCTGGACATCTGGAGTACAGGTACTTCCCTTRATACAGCAATCACAGGAGGATAATACAGAGGGGGAAAAATCGTGAAAAATATTATGGGAACAGTAAGTGAATGCATAAGATGTGTGAAAACATTATGCTCTTTCAAGGTTCACAAATCTGTTCCTATAGTTGTCCAACAAGAAAAGGCATGCATACAGAAAAAAGCAGAAGACTGAAGGAGAAGAAAARAAAAAACGTTGAATAAATGTATTGCATGTTCAGATTGGATTTTTCTTAATCTTAATTGAGGGTGACAGGTGGCAAAGGGAAGACCGGTGGATTTCCAAACATAAAAGCCTAAGAATTCCAAGTGGCTGTGGAAGCAGTCAAAGACACGCAAAGTGTCTTTTGTTAGGAAAATTTTTAAATAACTGGTTAGCCAGGCATTTCTTTTGGGAGCTCTCAGTTTAGGGCAGAAACTAAACAAAATGAGTCAGTTTGCCTTGTAGTGAAGACTCTTTGCAAACCTGGGGTATCAAGACAAAAATCAGGAGGTCGTTCTTCAGATAAAAACAATTTGCAGTGCAAAAACATAGGTACCACAGTAAACACATAAGAGAGACTAGAGAAACAAAAACTGTACATTTAAATCTTTGTTTCACGGTTGGGTTTTTTTTCTGGCTAAAACATTTGAACAATGGTGTGATAAGTAAAACACAGATATTTCCATTCACTATTTTCAATAAGGACAATGGGTATTCAGAGAAGCAAGTAATTAATTTGCCATTTCTCATTTTAATTAAAGTCTGTCTCTCTTACATACCATTTGTCACTRTTTGGGCCAGTAAACCCTGAGGAGGACATGCAAATATTCTCCTCCATGTTCTTGCAGGTGCTGAAGAGCCTGCTGTTGGTTCAGGAGGTTGCTGAATGCAGTGGTTCAAGAGAGCAGTTTCTTCTGTTTGTATATTCCCATCAGTAATTTTGGCATCTGCTACTGTTCCCTGCAGAAGGAAAACAKGGAGACTCCCTCAGAAGTGGCACTGCATGTAGTTGAAGTAGTGTGCAAGACCTGAAGTCAGCTGAGATGCACTGCCTACAGGTGGCTGCATTAAATAACCACTGTAGGAATGTCCAGATTTGTTGTATGTTTGGCATTTTTGGTTCTGTGCTTGTTTTTTTGCGTGGCACAAAGGACTGTGTGTGAGAGACTGCAAGACATTTGCCTTTTTATCTGCAACTGGCAGGCTCCTGTCCCAATACAAATAGCACCTGTGCAGGAACAATATTTGCATATTTGATGAAGAAACAATAATAACAGGCCAGGCTCAGCTTGTCTCGTGTACAAAACTAAACATTTATTAATATTTTCTACAATTTAAAAAGGTTCTGCTTCCAGACTAGATTTCACAATACAGTTAATGATCAGCATCATTCCTGTGAGACAGTGAGTTTAATATAACTCCTAAATAACTTCTGTTGCAAAGCCTTGAACCAAAATAACAAAACAAAGATGAAAGAAGCAGCACAGCTGGCTAGTACAAGCATTACTCACATGATCCATTGCAGGAAGGCTCAAGCTGGTAAGTCAAAGTAGAGATGGAGAAATACTACCCTGGGAGTTATTCCCTTCAAGTTCCTTGAAGCTGTTCTCTTATACTGGTACATCTACTTAYCCATATTCATAGCCAAAGCACTTTTTGACCATTTTTGGATATGCATCTCACTTCTTTTTAGCATTATTTTTGACAAGTTAATCATCTACCTTCCCATATGATTCTTCATGTCAACATATTGTCATACTGCAGACATGGAATTGTGCCTATAATGTGGTTTGGCCCTTCTCCAGTAATAGTTCCACATTTCTGATTATTTTTCTGTCTCTTCCCTCTCTCTCTCTTTCCATATATATTWATATATTCCTTACTCAGAGTCGTGACTGGAACACAAATCTCATGAGCTTTCAGCGTGCAGTTACTTGTTTATCAACCCCATGATTCTGTGATCACCAAGTGCATAAAGATGTACTATACAGATACCTATATGAGATRCACACAATACTATATGCTTACTTTTAAGTGTCTTTTGAGAACTTCATTCTTAAAAAAAGGAAAAAGGAAAGGAAAAGGAGGATTCCCTCTGACTAGCACTGCATTTACGATTCCAGTTAATTACCTCACTTTGCTCATGCATGGGAACCATGCCATTTCTGTCATAGACTGATGGATCAGAATCTTTACTGTCATTTCTATCATCTTCCTTCACCATAGTTGCAAACCTAAATAAAGAAATAAAGGTGGAAATGTTAAAGAAAAGCAAATAATCACTTTTTTTTCAAATGGGCGACTTCTCAGTGACGTTCTCTTTTACCCATAGATCAGGTGAAAAAATCCTCAGAGCCCAATTACAAATTTAATGGGGTTTGTGTGTCTCTGTATGCTGTAAACAAGAAAAACAGACAGAAACTAACAGAAGAACAGCATTAAGCTTACAAATTCAAGCACTAAAAAAAATTTTAAAAAAGTCCAATTTCTAAAATCAGTATGATCTGTGGTAACCTCTTCATTCCTCCTTAAAAGTATAGCTGTAATACATCTTTATTTATTTGTGCCTCCTTTCAGCACATAATGAAGGTTATTTGCTGTCAGCACCACGTGGCAGGACCATTAGTTTTGAAAGGGTACATGACAGTGCAAGCGACCATTTAATAAAGTTAGAACAATTATAGTTTCTAAAATCCTAAGAGGATTCTAGATCTTCAGGAGGGGACATTTTTCCCCTAACTTAAGACTGACTGATCCAGGTTGATTTTTTCAGAGTAATTTAAAGAAAGTGCTTCTGTTTAGATGCCAAAAACACATTGACTGAGATCTAAGAAAGAGAAGATGCCAGTTTGAAAAAAGATCAGGACTTTTCACAGCTTGCAGTCTGACTAAACATTTTTTRCTGATTATATCCCATGGAGCTACTTCTCAGAGTGGGAAATAAGATCCAMGTCAGTTTTGGGTTATTATCACTGTATTTGCTCACTCTAACTGGTCCATATCTTGTCCATAGATTCTAACAAGAGATATGGCAGTGCACTGTTTTGTATGTCATATGTTTTTTTGCTAAAAATGTTTACTGTAGCTTCACAAGTGCGAGCCAGCAAGGGGGGCTTACATATATCTGGAGATAAGGCTTGACAGTGTCCTCTGTTACAGCAAAGGCTGGAGATATTCTCCATTAGCTAAATTCCTTCAAGTCTTTTAGATTGCTCTGGCCATATAAAACACCAGTGATGTTAAGCCAAAATTTTTGAGCCAAGAAATTCCACCCTTGCTAAATTGTTGGAGGTAAGTCAGAGCTGATTGTCACAATTATCAAGCCTCAAGTTTAAAATTAAATATTTGATATTTGGGAATGACTGACGCCATAAACAAAGGCATGGGCCTTTGTAACACCTATAAAGTTTTCTTTGATATGCTCTGGTATGAAATTTGTCTGAGGCATGGCCAAGTCAAAGAGGAAGAATACAGAACTATAGGCAAACACTTTCAGTATGTTCTAAGTCAATATTTTTGCTTTTTCCTTCCCTTTTTACAAGTAATGTGCTTATTTACTCAAATTCCAGTACTTTTCTGTATTTTTAATTAGTACTTGTGGAACCAAATAGTTATGTTCTTCGAGTTTTTAAAATTGTATCAGTGGTACTTTTGATTTGGTTTTTTTTTATCCTTTCATTGAGACTGGGAACTTACAAATGCCAGTCATGCCCTAAGTGGAATAGAAAGTATCAGACACCGACCAGTGTCTCCCTCCTTCCCTTCACTGACCAAGTTCCCAGGGTTTATGTGGGAATGTATATATATATATATATAATTTTGTAGTTGGTTTGTGTGCAGGCAAAGGACAGAAGGATACTGTTCTCCATCCAGCTTTGCACAGGCAACATCCCCAATCTGGGAATCACGTAGCTGTTGACACAAAATTCATTAATCCTTCTGAGAAAGGCAAGTCYACCCTGCCACAGCTCCAGCTCCTGAAAGCACTGTTCACAGCAGCAGGTGGGAAAGATTGACTAAGCAGGGAKATGGAATTCTCTGTTTAACAGGAACAGTTTCAAGGAGTGAATGAGGTGTCTTATAGTGCTGTCCTTATCTGTTTTGTGGCAGGTCCTCATCCTGCTAGCAGGATCAAGAACTTACTTTCAAGAACCGTCCTTTTGGATCAACGGCATCAAAATGAGTAGTTAGTGTATTTATGTTAGTGTGGGTCTTTGGAGGTTCATAGGTTTGGGTTGTTTTTGGGTTTTTTTTTGGGAGGAGGGGTTGTTTTGGTTTTTAGATTTCACCTTCCATGCAAACAAAATCAGTGATTAAGAAATCACTGAGCGGAATTTATACCTCAGGGTGAAGGCCTGTCCTATGGAAATCAGCCAGCAACAGACTTATTTTACTGACTCCCTGTAAAATACACTTTTCTTGTTTTGAAAACAGAAAGGTTTTATTAGATCCTCCCATTTTAGCTCTTTTGTAGTGAGGGAGGGAGGGCTGACTGACAGGGACAGCCACCTGCGTGCCCATACTATGAAATCACCCGGCTGCTTCAGCTGCTCTCGTTCTGCACACAGAAGGTACAGAAAGCAAAGCAAACAAAACACCACAAACACCATYACAGCAACTGGCACTCCGGATTAATAACGATTAAAACACCCAAACCACCATTATCCACAAAAAGCTGCTAAGTAAACCCGGCGCAACCCCTTCCCTGCCAAGCCTGTATCAGCTTCCCTCAAGTCCCCGCTCCGGCCACAGATCTCCAATAGGGCAGAGAACTCATTTGGGGCACGGTGGGGCTGTAACAGGGCAGAGAACTCATTTGGGGCACGGTGGGGCTGCAATAGGCAGAGAACTCACCGGGGGCACAGTGGGGCTGCAATAGGGCAGAGAACTCACTTGCAGCACGGCGGAGCTGGATTAGGGCAGGGAACTCATTTGGGGGAACGGTGGGGCTGCAATAGGGCAGGGAACTCACTTGCAGCACGGCGGAGCTGGATTAGGGCAGGGAACTCATTTGGGGCACGGTGGGGCTGCAATAGGGCAGAGAACTCACTGGGGGCACAGTGGGGTTGCAATAGGGCAGGGAACTCATTTGGGGCACGGTGGGGCTGGATTAGGGCACTCACCTGGGGCACGGTGGGGCTGGATTAGGGCACTCACCTGGGGCACAGTAGGGTTGCAATAGGGCAGAGAACTCACCTGGGGCACAGTGGGGACCGGAGCCAGGGTCCCTCTCCTAGCGCGGCCTCTCCGCGGCGCGACCCCGAGCGCGGGTCCGTGAGGGGACAGCCCCCGCCCCGCGCCCTCAGCAGCGGCGGTGCCGCTGGAACAGCCTCAGCAGCCTCGGCTGCTCCTCCCTCGCTGCTGCCGGCGCTCCAGGCCCTCCTCCAGGGCACAGCTTCCCCGTGCCGGCAGCTGCAGCCGGGGATGTGCGAAGCCGTGCTGGAATGGAGCTCCGCAGGAAAGGAGGCAGCACACGGGCCCCGGGCCRAGCTGGCAGATCGGTGGGAGCAGAGCCGAGCCCATCCACGGCTCAGGATACCTGTCAGGGCACCCAAAGAAGGAGGGTTTTGTGTCTTTCATAGCCAGTCTTCCGTGACATTCATCGTATCCTATACACGCGAGAAGGATTTTCTGTGCTGCCTATACACCATCCTTTACYGCAGACTACAGCACTSGAMGARTCGGAGGTTTGGTGTAAGGAAAGARGAAGGAGCTCTTGCTGGTTCTGCTCTGGGTGCCTCTGGTGCAGGCAGAAGAATAAAAAAAAAACCCCAACCAATCCCCAAAACCACCTAACTAGCACATTTATGTCGTTCCCATCRTGGCATTTCGACTTTTTAAAGATCAAAAGCAAGTTCATCCATCTCACCTGTAAGTGCATGTCAGGGAATGAGACAGACCTCCCCCCTTTTTCTCAACCCTAACTTTGTAAACTGCACTGAGTGCGTGTGAAAGCAGGGTCAAACACGGCATGTTTTTTTTGCTCCTGGTATCGTGACACAGAACTAAGCTGACTACAAATCCAAGAGAAAATGAAAGCGATTTTTTGATCAGATTAAATTTTCCAGAAGGACTCTGAATCAGGGAAGCCTATTCCTCCCTCCTCCACAAGAGAAAAGTTTGACCTAGAATCTGAAAAGTCAAAAAGCTTCTTTTATGTTATCACTGGCGTGGAAGGAAAACAAAGAGAATTGCCCAGTTCCATTAAAAACARACCAGGGAATTAAGAGGTCACAAGAGAATTTAGAAGCATTTTCCTTTAATAACTCCAGCAAGTCTGCTGAAAAACCTCATGAAACTAGAACACATTTCAGAGTTGCAGCTGTTAATACCTCCATGAAAAGCACTGCTAATAAGGCAAGACACAGCAAGCTCTGCTGATTTTTATTTTACTGGCCAACCAGATTCTTGCTCTGCTACTAAAAAAGCCCTTTGTGCCTTTAGTGCAATTTAAAGGCAGGTGGTAATTACTTTCTTGYACAAATGCTTTGACAATAACAGCAGCAGCCGTTTTTGAACCGTTTTGTGTACTACAATCACTTCTAAGTGAGCTTAGGAACATTAAATAATGATGTTCAAGATGCAGTAAGTATAATGAATTTACACTCAGATTCTTAATCATATTTTCAGAATCCACAGTGCAAGTTTCCCGTGTTACTGCAGGGAGGAAATTTTCTCTTTTCAAGGTAAATCTTCTTTACCTGCTACAAAAGAAGCACTTTGGCCTTCRTATTAAACTCTGAAACCATTGAAGCAGTGTACTGTCAGCCTCAACTTTTAACATTTGAATTTAYGTCAGTGAACATTTGTGGAACCATTTTGGATTTCTGCCTCAGTTTGATCCTGCTTGGCTGCCAGGATCACTTGATTGGAATATTAGATTCTCTGAAACCCCACAAACAAATTACATAAGATCAGAATACTCCAACCATGATTAAAGGTGAACGTTAAACCGACAATGAGCCCAAGGAAGCCAATATTCACAAAACTTCTCATTTGTCAAATTTACATTTACATACAATTTTACAATAAGAGGCCTGATTTTATCTAGATATGTTTATCTTTGAAATCAAATAGCTTATATTAATGCTKCAGCTGATATTGAAAATCTTAATTTTATAAACATGGCAGTTGTTGGTACAGAAACACACACAGAATATTGTACATTTTTCCTGTGCTTTGATTACTGAATTCAGTAGCATTTACTCCTTAATTCCTTCCTCATGTATATATGTAATTATTGTATATGAATATATGTGTGAAATTGATATCACAATAAAATGTTAACACATATTCTTGCAGAAACAGTCCTTTTCAGAGAAATTTTGCCTYGTGTTTTAACATGAACTGTCTTGGTACTTGAGGATAAGGCACAGAACACCAAAGCGTAGCACCTAGCAACACATTTTACAGAATTTGGCTAATATTAGTACCTCATTTTGGAGAGGAATATATTGGTTCTATCTAGAGTGGTAAAATCCACTTCTTTTGTTTTTGTGCTACAAGGCAAGCATATTCATGGTGATCCAACCATGTATTTAAGAATACTTCTCTCACATATACCCTCATCTGTGCCTGCTAGAATAATGCCCTTGCGTCATAGATCGTGACATGAAAATCTAATAGTGAATATTTATTTTCCAAATACTTTGTAAATTGAGAATAAAGATAGTATTTAATTCCTTTCAATCAAATTTGCTTAAAACACAACTCAGGTTTTGTACCTTGAATAATATTTTTAGTGCCCTGAAATCTTAAACATTAAACTGCTGGTTCTTTCATGTTTTTGGAGTTGCCATAAATTGAAGCCACATGAAGTATGTTTTACTGCAGTATTTCACTATTTAAGGAAAAGTTCATCAGTAAAATCAATTTAGAGAGAGATCACATAGCAGTAAAAATGCAGCAAATTTGTTTGGAAAAATGTCACATGCATGATCTCAATCTTTGCAAGAAACACCATCTTCATTTTTTGCCCTTCATGGTATGAATTTCCATTTGCAGGTAGAGTCAATCACAAGCTCCATCCTCCATCAATGATTAGTTCATTACCAGTCATATAGGCAGACTGAAATTACATAAAAACAAACAATAATTTGAAGTAATTTTCCATGGCAATTGTAGGGAAACATTTTTTCTTTAAGTTAAAAAAAMCCCTGCTTTCTTCTGATACACTTCTTTCTTTTTTTTCTTTTGTTTTACAAAAATATCTGAATAAGTAACATAATATCTAAATATAAACAAACTTAGAAATTGAAGCCTTTTACTTAATTCATCATTGTCAATAATCAGAGTTCTTTTTGTACYGCAGATTGAACTCAGTAAAATAACATAGTTTGGTTTTAATTTTTGTAATAATCCAGCTCAAAGACAATATAAATTGTCCTGAAACAAATGCCCTCTCTATTGTCAAGCAGCAAATTAGCCTGGGATTCTGTGAATGGACATTTTATTGTTCTGTACTTACTTCATCAGAGGCCAAGTACACAAAGAGATGGGCCACTTCTTCAGCAGTAGCCATCCTGCCAGTCTTCTGTCTGGCTAGAAAGTCTTTCAATGCCTGGATATACAAGAGCATTTGGTATATCAAAAATAAAAAAARCAATTATTTAAATCTGTTGACATGTACATAGCAATATCATAAACAGGCCTCTAGTCATAACTGTCTTTAGTGCACTGAGTAGGGACTTAAAGCTAGAAAAGTATAAAATCAACAGTGRTGTGGATTTCAGGTTGAAAAAAAGTAGGAGACTTTTAGACAACACCTAAATGAATGATTCCAGAATAAAGCCAACATAAAATCCTTCTTCCTTTGGTGGTAGACATTCCCAGGTCCTTCCAATGAGAACTTGGAATTATCTAGTAGGAATATTTAAGCATCCCAAATCACGCTGAAATGCACAGGCCAGAATGCCCTTTGTGTCATGTTTTTGGCTATCCTGTGGCTGACGTGCCACAGTAGAAAGTGTCCTCTGTTTTTGCACTGGGTACTGTAACCTACAGCTGGAGTTGTTTGCATGGATGACAGCCCCTCTGTATTCACTAAGCAGTGATATCCTTCTGAGGCTTCTGTCCTGAGTACAAGCTGACTACACTGTCAAAGGAGACACTACTGCTGAGTTATCCAGAGCCCTGAAATCGAGGACATTCTTGAATATGGACAGAAGTACAGCTATAGATACAAATTTTTTTTTTTAGAGAGAGTTAAATATATATACACGTGATCAAGCTAATAAATTGCTTTCTCACCTGTTCTGGGTTACTCCGAGCTTGGATTCTTTCCTGTAAAGATGGTGTGTCAACAGTTCCTAAACAAAATTTTAAATTCAGTGTTAAAGATCATCAGCAATCATGACAATCATGACATTTGTATGTCTTAGCACCTATGTGTAACTGGATAATACAATTCAGGAGAAAGACTGCAAAGTTACTGATACAGAACAGAATTTTAAATTTTTGGTAGAAGGCATGAGTTTTGAGAATTAGATTCAATACTTTTTGGATGGTTAAACAATGGCCAGACTTTTGAGCTAGCTCTTGCTTGCTTATAACTTCCCAGACAGGATCTCTGGAAACAACCATTCAAATACTGTGTAATGTATATATGAAGTGCACGTGCTAGGTTAATCAGACTATGCAAACAGTTTAAAAACAGAATAACAACTTTTCTATATTAAGCCTTTCAAGCATGCTCTGTTCTTTTAGACTGCTGGTAACTTTAGTTACCACTTTCGAGTGGCCTTCTAGCAGCTGCTCTAGATGACAGAATAATGTAAGAACACTTACCAGGACATACGCAGTTGCATCTGATGCCTTGTTCAATGAAATCAGCAGCTACAGCCTTTGTCAGCCCAATAACTGCTGCCTTTGAGGTACTATAGACACACCTGTTCACAACTCCTAACAGAAGGTCCATGTTGCAGCAGCCCAGAAACAAAAGTATAAAAAAGAAAAAAAAAGAAAGAGCAAGTTTGTTCAAAATGCACCTGCTTCTGGACTCCAGCATTTCCTGTAGCATCTATAGCCCCTCCATAAGGGAAGGCTAGCTGGAATGCCAGCTGCCAGAATTCTACTCAGATGTGCACCAGAGGAAATGTTTCAATAGTGTAAGTTTGGGGACTAGTCTAGAAAAGACAGCAAGCAACCAAGTTTTATGAACAGCAGAAACCCATCTGTTAGTCATGATCAAGCTCCCTTAGAAAACATAGTTAAAGCCCTTACATAGTTATAGTTTCTTCATTATACTTCTGAAGAACATATGTAGCAAGATATCTCTGGAAGTAATTCCTTAATTAATAAAAACGGGTAAAAAGGATGCTAAAAAACATTGAAAAAGCTCAGAGGTAAGGAGTTTCTGCAATTTTCCATCTGTGTTCTCGCATTTGTTTGAATTGATGTGTTCACTTTTTTTTTCCCTAACCACAGCTGTCCACAGGATTTAGAAGTACCTTTGAATTTAGGATGTCCTCTAAATTCAAAGTTGTGCAGAATTTATTTTRCATGTCCATCATCTTAAAGATTTAYATAAGGAACTCTAGCAAGCTACTGACCTTTGATGCTGGATGCCACAGAAGACATATTTATAATATTTCCAGATTTCTGTTTAAGCATCTGCAAAAGAGTACTTAACATCATTTGAATGCAGACTATTTTGTCATCTGCAGGTTCAGCAAAAGAACCCACAGCCACTCACAGAACAGCCCCACACACACTCGATACGCAGGGTAACAAAGCTTAATTGGCAGGGATAGGTGCCATTGACTGAAGAGTAAAGCAGAGTCTGAAATTCTCACTCAGTTTCCCTAAGCCATGTCAGGATTGAAAACTGTGCCAGGAAATGATTTTTTCCCCTAGATAGCCATCTCTCAATCATTGCACTTTTTGTTACCACAGTAAGTTACCCTACACAAACATCTGCTCATACCAATGCAGCAATTCACTAATCCCACTCAAACTCTTCTTGTTTTGGAGAAGACTAAAGCACAACACTCTAGCACAAATGAATTGTCACTCATTTTCTYTAAGTTATAGCTTTTTAGACATCCCAAAATCTGATACGCCTGAAGTTGTTAAAAACCCCAAACTTTGAAAATTAAGTTCAGCTAAGAAAAAAACCACCCCCAAACAAACGAAAAACCAAACCAACCAAGCAAAAAGAGCTGGAACAATATTAAAAAGAGTAGCTGTCATCCAGTCATGGTCACAGCTTTTAAATCTGGCCTTTGCATTTATAGGAATGCAAACACCTTATTCAGTCCACAAGTTTTTGTAGACCCAAACCTAGTTATTACATCAARAACAAGAGGCATCCTTGAGCTGCTATATTCATGGAATTGCTCTGCTCCAATCAGCATGTTAGCATCAACATCTTTGAATTTCTTTACAAGGCAGTTTCCAGTGCTGTATAAAATTCATGTTAATATGCATTATTTATTAAAATTCTGTAGCAGTGGTATTGTGCAGCTKTGTGCTGTAGTATAATACATTAGCACTGTATCTCAATGGCTCCCTCATTGCTCTGCATAAAATCTGAAGTATTTTAGCTAGTTTACATAAATCAACTCCCCAAATAAATCTTCTCTACCATATCCTTTAGATAAATTGTCTRCTTGAAATACCATGCAATGCAGAGAATGTTTTACAGTCGGATCACAGTAATCCCCTATCCAAAGCTTCATATTTGGATTTTGTATACTGTCATAGTGGCAACTCTCACTCTCATAGTGAGAGTTAGATCTCTCACACTTTAAACAATGCAGCAGAGACTGTAAGTCAGGGGCAACCAAGGCTTGCCTTTGGAAGGAATGTCTTGATCATTAGATACATGCTGCGAACATTGAGATTCATCGTGAAGTCCCAGTCTTGCTCCTCACACTCCAGAATGGTTCCATGATGAACAAACCTAAACGAGTGCATGAAGTGGATTTCAGTCTGTGGTTTACATTTCTGTGGCTTTCTATTGCCCTTTTCCCACTACTATTTTGTACAGTTAACTTTCCCAACCTTGAGAAGGAGGGATAAGACCCYTTTTTGAAAAATGCAATCAGCAGTGTATTCCTTCTGATAAGTATCAAGGACACAAGGCAGACTCAAGATGGGCAAATAAATGATTTGCAATAGAAGAATTTAGGGAAAAAAAAAAAAAGTGGAGCCCTAGCAGACTGTAGGCTTTGCTCTCTGTTGTGCCAGGAGGGCCAAGCCTATAGGGTGCCCACAGAGTTGGGAAAGCAGAAGTTCCAGAGCTGCTCTGTCTTGGTCTGGGTAATGTGGCTCTGCACAAGAAGTTCCGTTTGGATAAAAACACATGAAAATTTGTAGTAAAAGGTATAAAATCCATTAAAACGTAAGAAATAAAATGCATTGAATTAATAGAAAGTACTTCTRGAGGACAGGGAAAACTGGAAAAATAGTAGTAGCGAAGAGAATCTCCTTACCCTGCAATGTTACAGAGGACATCAATCTTGTCAATCTCCCTGGCCAGATTTTCTATCTGCTCCCTTTTGGTGACATCCAGAACCCGTATTTGAATGCCTAGAGAAACCATGGTATTTGTTTCAATGTATTTGACTAAGGATGAACTGGTTATTTTTTTGATGTGCTGAGGATTGCACTTACAATTCAATTTAGTAACACTGACACTTAAATAATTAAGTTAGTGCAATGGTTAAACTGGAACTGCATGTCATGCTATTTAAAATTTCAGGAGAGAATTAAAATGATCAATTATTTTAATTGTTCTATAGCATGACACAAGCAGATGAGCTAGCATAATTTACCACAAAAACATTCCAAATAAATTTGAATTCCACTATACTTTCAAAAAGAAGAATTATAGAACCTATATCAGCATAATGAATTTTGTGCTCATTATCATAGAATAATAATTAYTTGGAACTAGTTACATGTCACACACTCAGTAATATTACATGCTGCATTCTCATGCATAGTCAATGATATTATGAAAGAGCTTTATATAATTTAATTAATGAGGGAAAATGATTTTGCATATTTATTAAAATCACAAGGGCAGTCACACTAGAACAGGGTCCAGCAGAGGTTATTGAGGAAATTCCATCCTTAGAGGTGTTCAGAACTTCATTAAACACGGCCCTGAGTGACCTGCTCTAACCTGTGCCACTTTGAGCATTAGATGGGACTGCGTGACCTCCAGAAGCCTCACCCAGCAGATATGATTCTATGAAATATTATAAAGCTGTCTGTAAAGCATCTGAGTGTTGTGTAAATAAAAAAAATTGATTGGAAAAAATCTGGTTTGGGAAAAAAAACTGTTTCTTTTGAAGCCAAATTGTCAAGTCAGTGAATAGGCTTTATATGCCTCAGTTAAATGACACAGACACTTTTGAAGAGATTTGTGTATAACGATTCAATCAGACTACAGGATGGTGATTAACATCACATTGGAATTACCTCTCCTGGATAAAATTCAAAGACCACAACATGCCAAGTTCTTGATGAATTATAGATTGACTAATCCTGTGTCTAAAGGATGGAAATAGCTCTGAGTACATGGAAAATTATTTCTGTCCTTGGGAGCATACTAGCACAGGGAAAAAATGTAGTATTTTCCCAAATACCCATCCTAATGAACCTGAAAAGCCCTAAAGTTCCCAAAGAATTATAAAGGGATTGCTTGCGGTGAACTCCAGTTTTAGAGACATTCATGCTAAAACCAGTGCCAGCTGTGGTTTTGTGTATTTTACCATCAAATTCATTAAATCCACTTTATTCTCTCAAATAAAGTTAGAAGCATTTTCAGTTGTAATGTACATCCAAGTGTTACTTTTTATTTTGATATTGAAAAAAAAAATTATGCAATGTGCCCCTTGTGTCACTTATTATTAGAAACACAGTTGTGCTCCTTGAAGGATGTTCCCTATGGTGTCAGTAGAAAYGCAACCTTCAGGCCTGAACATTTGTACAGACTAAATAGGTTTATCTGGTATTGCTGGAATTAAATTTCTGAAGCCAGCCTAYAACAATATTTGTAGCAGCTGAACTAATACCTGCTATAAGCCATTTACCTGGATATTTCCCCAGTTCTTGCAGTTTAGACTCATTGATGTCTGTAGCAATGACTTTGGCTCCTTCTTTAGCAAAAGCCTGGAGAACACAAGAGAAGCAGTTTATAGTTAGATATTCCAGATTGGACCAGAAATAAAATCTGTTTTCTTCTCAGGTCCTTTTTGGCTTGAAATAGAAGTTGGTTGAAGGCAGCTGATCTCTCACTTTTCATTCTGGGCATATCAGGGGGCTCCACACATCCTGTGATATAGTTACAACTATGTAATTATGCCTGAAAGACAGATTTGTTTTCCCCAAAGTAAGGAATCCATAAATTAAGTATAAGAACAGTAACCAGGCAAAGATAATGGATATTATTATTGCCCTTATTTGTGGCACTAGTAAGCACATTATACAYATAGAGCTAGAATTGTCTGTATTGTTAGATTCAAATAAAGTTATGAAATTTGACAGGTAAAGGCAGTAGTCATAAACCAGGATTTTTTTTTTTTTTTTTAACAAAATCCGTTGCATCTAAACAATTGGAATAGAACAATATTCCAATATTCTATTGGAATAGAACAATAGAAAAATTAATGATATTTAACCAGAGTCTGCTTCATCCTTGATGGTTTCGTCAAAACCCTTTCTTTGTACAATGATTACCGATTAACCAACAGCTAACAAAATAAACTCCTTCAAAAGACTTCTGACATCTTGCCCCTAATCTTCAAAATAAGTRTCTCAAGTGCATCTTAARAGGATAGTGGCATTAAACACACCAWYCTTCCAYGGCTTGTTGGGTATTTACAAAGTGAAATCATCATGAATATTACCTGCTCCTTGGACAGAGTGATTTATGTAAGAGCCAAGAGCAACAGGCTTCTGTGTTCTTAGCCACATACATGAGAAACTTACTACTCTGGCAAAAATCCTACAGGACCTTTTCCTGAGCTGCTGATTACATTACAGAGGTAACAAGATAACTTCTGGGTTTCTTATTTGCCATAAGGGAAAAGGGAAGTAGCAGGAAAACAACTGGCCAAAAGGAGTTATAAGCTAACTGGAAAGTTAATATATACCTYGAATTCTGTTTAAGAGTAATCAAACAAAATTTGTAAAGGGTTTCTTGCAGTTACTCATTGTGAACAATGCTGCAGCTCTGCTGTTAATATGTAGATTTGGTTATGTCAACCATGAATATGGGTAAAATATCTTGACTTTACTGCCAAGAATCCTCACAATATCCAGCCTTAGACCAGGAAATATTCCTATCATCTATATTTTCTCCCAGAACAAAGCAGCAGAGATATTGGATAAAAGGCACAGACARTACCAACCATATATTGCTTGAAAAGCAGTTACAGCTGTTCTCAAATATTGCTCATATCCTTGTCTAATGTCTCCACTAAAGAGTTGAAGATTTTCATAAATTCAAACAGCACAAAGCCTGCATGATACAGCACAGTGGCTACATTATTCCCTGAACTTTTCACTGTGTAGTTCTGGCTTTATCTATGATTTATTAACTCAAGAAGTGGTTTGCTGCAGGTAACATTGGACAAGCTAGCATTAGAGACCTTGCACAGGCACAGAAGGACAAACATTTTTCAACTTACAAGAGCAACTGCTTGGCCAATGCCCTGTGCTGCYGCAGACAACAGGATGATCTTCCCATCCAGCCGCCCCATGGTGCTGACCTGTACAGACACAGGATGCCACACAAATTGAACAAAAACATGAGCCAACACCACCCCTGGGATGCAAATACGTCCCMAAAATTAGACATAATCCAGAGTGTACCTCTGCCATCATAATGGTCCTGTTTGGCTGCAGTACGATCCTCAGTTATCCATTTGTTTAGTTACACCTGAGGACCTCAAGCAATCTGAATGCATTTGAGCTCAGAAGGWAAGCATTAGAACAGAAATTGGACTTTTTTTCCTTAAACAGGTAAAAAAAAAGCCAAGATGCAACAGCAGTATAGTAGTTTGTAAGCCACTGTTTCCACTGTCCGTGGTGTTCTTAGAAAACAGGTCTGTCTTCTGTTTTTCTCAAACTAGACTTTTCAACTTCCTAGACTGCAGTAAATYCCACACAATACCCTGGCCGTGGTATCTGCTCCCAGTTTTCTTAGGAATCTTCAGATTCCCAGCCCCAGTGAAGCAAGGAGGGTGTGGGGGGAAGGAAAGTACCCATCTTGCCTCTTGTTCCCTCTTCCCAAGGAGCTCTGAGCATGTTTGGGGCAGTAGGGAACCYCCAGGAGCTGCTCCCTTAGTCTGTATGGAGCAGCCAAAAGGCAAAATCCAGCCCTCTTCTGCCCCAGCATGCCCCTCAAATGCTGTGTTAGGTTAAACAAAATACAGCATGCAAAAATGCAGACAAACGCATAAAAACCAACACCATCCTCTCACTCCTATACATTTTTGGTTATGTAAGAGGATGTTTCAAAGAACTTCCTAAAAAGTGAGGTCACTGTGTTCCAGTCACTTCAGTACAGTGTTTGGAGTCTGTTAATTGGGCTGCCCATAAGCAAAACTCCTGCATTCTCAAAAYCCTCTGAGCAACTTCATCCGTGTAGATATGAGTGTAGAAAGGTATCATAAGAACACAAAGTCTTTAAATAAACACATAAATCCAACACACCAAGTACTTCACTGGGAAATTAGGACAGAAGTGCCATAATCTTCCCTATATTAGCAGCCAATGCTATCCTRTAGAGGTGCTCATATCCATGCTGCAACTCAGATTAATGAGTCAAATTTAATGTTCTACCTTTTGAATCAATTATTAATTTCTTATATTTTGATCAGAAGTTGTTTTGTTAGACATTTTTCCTGTCAAAAGTTGCAGCAAAAGTGTTTTCCTGAAGGTTACAGATTCAACAAATCAGACTTCTGAAGCAATGTAATAGAAAAATTCTTATTTCCAAAAGCCACGTGGATCTGTTCAACTTCCCCAAATCACCTTAACACGTAATTATAAGCATTTTGCTTCCCACATTTTATCAATCTAACAATCAGCTTTTAGGAACATTTGCCATACTGATTCTATGAAGCATTTACAAATAAATATTAATATAGTTACTCACCAAGAGATCTCAAACAGCTTTGTTATATTTACTGACCCTTGTACGAAAGGAAGTTCTACAGTGTATTTCTTTTACTGTGCTTGTTGGGATTTGTAGTCGAATTACTAAGTTTCTGTCTACAAACGTAATTTCCTGTTGAAACATTGAGATGCTGCCATCTAGTGAAACTCAGGATTTTAAAAAAGTGTGATTTTACTCCTGCACAGAAAGATCACCAGCATTAGCTGACCCTCTTCCCATGGGAATTCAAGAGATCAGGATTCCCGCAAAAAAAGGCCACACACATGTTTTTCCAAGCAATCTGTTTTGCAATATAAACTATCAAATTCCCAACCAGGGCAATACTTAAGTGATTATTTTTTTGTTGTTTTTAAACTGGTGATTTACCAATGTATCTTCTGTTTCTSGTGGATTAACTTGCATATATTAAAGCAGAATGAATATCATCGTAATGAAAAATTCTAGGGCAAACTAATTTAGCTGTGAGCTCACACCAAACTTAAATCAACCTGATAGTTTTRTCAAGAATTTGGTGTGCCCCTAAGTTTTAGTTAGTTTATCCTCAGAAAAGCCACTTCTGTGGAGAAACTAGGACACATATACATAAAAGTTGCTTTTATCCTGCCTTTTTACTAAGCTATGATAGCTTTTAAGGCTTTCTAAATCAGCTCCCCAGTAAAGAAAATCTTGAATGACTTTTCCAAAAGCATTTATCCTTCTGCCCCTAAGCTTTTGCCACCCAAATTCAGACCGACCTGTTGCAATAAGTTTCTGCTTTTTTTTCAGTTCAATTACCAGTAAAATCACCTAATCTGAGAATGTTCCAAGAAAGCAATAATTAGCAAAAAACCTSAAAATTTTATTTGAAAGAGGTAGATCTATAGACACACCTTCTTCCCCCTTCTGGAAAAAAGTCAGTCTAATTCATTTATTATAACACCAAAATCCCCATAGCTAAAAAGGAARTCTCTTTCATTGTAACAAAACAAACCAAACAAACCCCCAACCTAAAACAAATATAAAAAAACCTTCCAACCAACCTCAAAAAAAACCACACCAGCACTTTGCATTTATTACTGTCAGAAAATAAATACCTATAGCTGTGGTCAGGTATTGCAGTGCTCAAYTCTGTAATGGCATTTAGAACCTGTATATTTTTGGCTAGTCATGCCTTTAAAAGCTTCCCAAAACCATTCCAGGTCAGAAGGTGAGATAAATGCTGGCAACTTCTTAGTAGCTACAGTGGTTGGCAGTTTTCAGCCATTCAAGATAAACAGAAGGTTGGCTCTTTGTGAAGAAGTACATCCAGCAGGTAAATAATCCTTGTGTGGCTATCCCAATTCCAGTAACTGCTGCATGCTCAGGAACATGCCAATSTAGCCATTTGCTCAGCAGTCTGGGTGACCCAAACAAGACCTCTTTCTTAGGTGGGACTTTCTCATCTCATGGTGATGGTTTTGTCCTTAATGGAGTTGATCTCACGTACTGAGTGCCAAATTCCTATTTAGTTGGCAGTGGAGGGTGTGGGGGGAAAGGGAGGAGGATCCATGTTTTAGACTTCAACCATTTTCTGACAGTCAGAGAATTAAACAAAACTCTGACAACAGACTTGTGCAACAGCAAACTTCTGCACAAGGAATTGCTGCAGAAGGTGATGGAGGAYAGAGACAAGAAATATAATAATGATGCAAGTGATGATATCAGTATAAAAGATAGTAATTTGGTAACATTTAGACACTGTTGTAATCAACATCCTTTGATCATAGCACAAGTGAACACCAAAAACATTTTTCACATATTTAACACATTAAAGTTTATTGTTAAAATAAGGTCTCTTATATAAAACATACAAAAAGTGGGTCTGACAACACAGGTAAGTAGGTTAATAAGAGAGTCCATCTCGCCCCAATGATCTGGTTTGATTTCCATTCACTATAGAACATTCTTCTGCTTAAGTCCATTGCTTGCTATAAAAAAAAACTCCAAAACACAACTTCAGGGAGGTATATTGAAAAACAATGCAAAATTCAGTTACTCACGGCACCATAATTGGTTGAGCTGCAGAAACATTTAAGGAGTTTAAGRGGAACCCTTGATTGTGTGCTCTACAAACAGAAGATCAGTAACTTCAAATGCTGGGTCCAAAGCTGTGGTGAAAATGTAGTTTGTGTGGGCTTAAAGAAGCATGGTATAAAATGACATGCTAAAAAACAAAAATAATATTTCTTTATAAGTCAACACCACTCTGAAGATAAAAATATCAAAGCCCCAGAAAAGGGCTGTTTTAGGAACGACAGAATGTAAAGGTTGAGACTGAGAAGTTTCACAGTAGGTTAGTTTGTGATCCATTCCTTTTCCCATTTTTTTTTCTTCAATGCATTAGATTTTCTTTGCCATCAAAAAAACCCACATCAAAACACCAAAGTAGAACATTGACAGATTAGCAGGTTGTGGGGAAACATGTCTAGTTTTCCATTTTTGTCCTCATATTTCAGCTTTCCCAGTTCTGGGAAGTAGCMGCTCCAAGACAGCAAAGACAGAAGAGGCTGGTGGCTTTTAACCTGAAACAGTTTTCTTTTGTGTTTGCACATTCTGGCTGCAGCCACTGCCAGGGCAGCTTACCACAGAGCATCTTCACTGGGTGCTACATTCAGGGGCTTTGTTTTGGTCTGAAGTCCCAAACAAGTGTTTAAGATGTTCTTCTGTGGACTCTATGCCCGCAGGTCGTGCATCTGTACAGAAGACAAGAACATTAAAGCTTTCCTCCTCAGACAAGCAGCAGGAATACAATKATTTAATCTTGACTAGTATTTTATATGTCAGTTACCAAAGCTTCCCTCTGAGAATCTTTGAGTTGTGAGGAAAGCTGTGCTACTACCAAGCTGGCCATCACAAAGACAGCAATGAGGCATGTTCTTTCTGCAAGTCTGCTATTAATACCTCAAAAACTGGCTAACTCTTCACCATGTCTGCAGGGGCCTTCTGAAAGCTATGAGGAATAAATGTACTCATGAGGACAGTAGATGACTAAAAGTCAGCAGGCCAGATATAAGAAATCTGAAGTGGGGCTGAGGAACAGAAGTTATCATCAAAACAGCTATTATTGCAGCTGGAGCCAGGCAGAGTAGCAGATGAAACATCAAAGACTAAAGTCTACCATCTTGAAAAAACTTCAGAAAAAAGTTAACCAGCAGAAAAGAGTTAACTTTATATAGTTTTACCAGAAGTCTGTGGTTAACCAATGTAAAGTTAAAAAGCAAAACATTTTAGAGCACTAGCTATCTAATGACAATATTTTGCTGATTCAATTTCAAAAGTCACTCATCAACACTTGCACTGCAGAAAAGGAAGAAAAGTTTGTATGTTCTTTAGGGGGTGAAAGATTCATTTTGGTATTACACTTCTGTRGAGCACATAGAAGCTTCTCAGCTCAGATGGTTAGCTTTCCAACAGCCAGATGACTAACCACTCAAGAAAACTGTTATGATAAAAGTTTTGGGTCTGAATATATGAGTATAGCATTTACCCTCAGCTCAGGCTATCCCTTACATTTTGTATCTTCAAATCTTTATAGGACACTACCACTGTGTTACGTACCTGTTAGCATACCCAAGTTGGAATTATCAAAGAAATTTGTTGGACAAGTCAGAGGCAGAGGCTTTGATAGGTCCTGAGTCACTATTTCCTGAGAAGCAGTTTCCTTGGAGGGTGAAGGCATTTGCTTTTTAAAGAAATATGATACTGTTTTCTTAGGAGATTTTGATATTGTCTCTCGAGTAGTTTCTCTTGAGGATTGTTCTCTCAATTTTAGTGCTCTCTCTTTCCATTTCTTAAGTTCCTCTTTCAGTTGAAGTTCACCACTGCAAAGAAAAAAAACCCCATCATTTAAGTAAGAAAAACTTAAAGCAGTACCTTTATGGAAAAATCCCTAAAGAACAGAGGGTTTCTGTGTTTTCAGATGACAYATCACAGACATGGCAATGCAATAGCTGCATATCTTGGTTTCAGAGGAACTTTTTTTAAGCTAAAATTGCTTCTAACATACAATTCAAGTGTATATTCCAGCATTTAAAAGATTCTTATGAAAGTATCAATTTAAAGTTCCAAAGGCCTTTATGACTATAAGCCATAAAACACTAGCTTTAAATAAAAGTTTACGATGTGAAATTTAAAATTAATGTTTACTCACTTTATAGAGCTCCCAGAAAGAAACACTAATGATGCATATAGTTAAATACAACAAATTATTTAAACTGCTGCTAGTCAGCCTTCCACTTACCTTCGCAGACGGTCATTTTGTTCCTTCAGGCACAAGTTCTCTTTCTGCAGCTTGGCTTGTTCAGATTTTAGAACAAGTATTTGTGTGCTCTGCACAATACCACTGCCACCACCACAAGTAAGGGGTACTTGGGATTGCTGAGGGTCTGCTTCTTTCAGCACTGGAAAACAATTTTATACATGTGTGTGCATTATTTGGAGAGTACTTAAAACCAAGCTAAGCTTGGTTCCTTCCTAAGTTTGGCACCTGTTCCTTCTTCTGGTCTTTTATGTGAARCCTCACTGGGTTACAAGTGCCATTACAACAGTTACACTTTTTTCCACACAAAACACCTTCATTCACATTGTCAGGGAGATATTAAGAAACATGAAAGATTCTTCACTGGGCCATTAAGAAGTAAAATTGCTTCAGGTATGACATAGCTTTGATTAGAAGTAGGTATTCATATGTCAAGGAAAACATGGCAACATGAGCTACCATCACTGCAGCTTACCCCTCCACAAGCGGCTGCAGAAAAACACAAGAACTGCTGTGATTCTAATGCAGTTTATGTGCACTTAATTTAGTCTACCTTCCATCTCATCTTCCAATGCACCCAATTCTCCTCACACCCTTTGAGGTACAAGGCCTGTATCTTGATCTGGTTTTTAACCACATAACCTCAAAACTCAGTGTTTCACATGAAAGTGTTTCTATATAWCTTGTATTTACCAGTAACATCTTGCTCTTGGCGTGCTCTTCTCAGTTCTTCTCTTAGCTTTGTTATTTGCTGTTCTTGGTGTTCTGCAAGGGCGTTACAATTAGCAAGTCTATATGAGGCAAGAAGGGAGGGAGAAAAATAAAAACCAGAAAACCTCAGTTTAATAGTTATWACAGTTGCAGTTGAATTCCAATGAGCTATTAAATACAAGACACACCCAAGTTAAACAAGAAAAACTACATAAACCTCGTTGTTAGATTTTAGATAAAGTGYACCCAAAAGCTGGACTAATTATTTTTGGTGTATCCCTTCTGTTTAGTGAAGTAGAGAGTGCTTTCAATTATTGCTTTCCCCCTGCCTTCTTTTGTGACAACTGTTATTTAATTTATGGCTGAGAAATTTTGGTGGGTGTATAGGGAAGAAGTTTTGTAAGCAGCCCAAGGTATATATRGATTTTGCTTTTTTAACTGCAGTAAAAACTTACAACACCTCAAGCTGAATGCTTAATTCTTATTATGTGGGAAAAATAGAGAAGTAGAAGCTAAGAATGAAGTAGCTGAGAATTGTAAGAAGTTAAAATTTGAACTTACGTCACTTCAATGGATTTGGATTGTTTCATTCTTTCCAGATCACATTTTACCAATTGTGTTTTGAGATTGTCAATTTCTTCTTTGTACAACTGACCACCTTTATCTAATTTTGCCTGAAAATACAATATTTAGGACAAATAAGGGCTTGTTACTTAGCAATGAAATTAAGATTGTTAATTGTGTATCTTTTCTATGATCTGCTAGATGTTGCAGGACAGCCAGGAGCAGGGAGTTATTTTTCACTAAGGTGGCTCACATTACCAGCCAGCACTATAGTAGCAGCTGGTATCCTACTCTAGTGTATTACATGCAATCATATTTTAGAAGGTTTTACTGACATCAGTGCAGATATAAATCTGGGAATTTTTAAGTAGAGTGCAAAYACATTACATTAAATAAACAGCTCTTGCTTCAGTTTAAAAGTTTTAAAATGTTTAAAATGGTTCAGAAATGCWTCACATACAAGTGACACATTAAGTTTTTAGTATCGTAATATAGGTTCTAWATGCTGTCACTGAAGGTTGCACTGGTAGAATGTGAAGCCAAACAGGCAAGTGGAGTGTTTTAYTCTAGGAATGCCASACAGAAYAAATACATTGACTATAGAGAGCTASRTTTCACCTMCRACTGTTGTCAAGCAKGCTTTGTGTTTTCATCAGAGGAGAAAGAGCAGAGTGAAGTATTTTGCTTATACCTGAAGACTGCGATTCTCTGTTAAGGCAGTTCTGAGGCAATTCTCCGTCTCATTCAGTTTAGCTTGCAATTGGGTGAGCTCACTTGTCTCTGTTTTTGTTCTTATCTGTGCTTGCAGCTTGTTTATCCTGTTATCTTTCTCTTTGACACTTTCTCCTACTTCATTTATTATATCTTCTAACTTCTGAATTTTTACTTCCATAACCTGTTGAGATGTATGAGTCAATCAGTTATGAGCAGTTATGCCAAAAGACAGTAACAGCACACAGTCATATTCTCAGCAAAAACAAGCAAAAACCTAAACCACACAAAAAATGCACACTACAGGCTCTATGGCAACTCTTCATGTCCAGGTCACTGTTCTGTGTCACCTTTTAATAGTCTAGAACACTCAAGTCTAAGAAAAGAAAAAGTGCTTTGGAGAGAGGTAACTGTGACACAAAAAATAGGAGAGAGAAAGTGAATCTTCAGGTCCTGTGATTAAATGGAGAATTCTTCTCCAACTTCATGTTTGATAGTGAATACCATATACTTACAGGATGAATCAAAAGTATCATCACCCTAATAAAGTCAATACTTCAAAAGCAAATGAAAACATTTYGTATGAACTTCTAAACTGAACATCTGTTTGTCTACAGAAATCAGGCAATTAAAATAATTACATTACAGGCAAGAGCTCTAACTTCTACTTTGGAAATAAAAGAGCTACTAAAATAAAGTGTACTCGATTTGTATTTGTATTTACAGTTGCCATCAATCCTTATTTTCAGTTTGGAGTACTGAACTGGAGTACTTAGCAAGCATCAAAGTCTTCCTTAGAAACAAGTATTGGTACCTTTTTATCTTCTTCTGCAACCTTTAATTTATTATGAAGCCTGTAATTTTCTTCTTCTAATGCCAGACTGGAAAAGCCACTAGGGGCCAGTTTTTCTTTTAGTGTGTTTAGATTCTGAAGCAACTCTTCATTTTTCTCTTTTCTCTGTTTTAATTCAACATCAGCATTTTTACTATACTCTGCAGTTTTGGCATCCAGTTCTGAAGAAAGTTCAAGGAGTATCTGRAAATCAGTAGCATCATAGAGAATAATTTAACATAATTTTTTAATCTGCTAGAAATAAGGCAAGTGAACAAACAGGAAGTATTTTAGCCTGTATTATTTTCATGTTCTTGTTTTAGTGCCCCATTTGAAAATGCTTGCTATCAGAAATGGTATCATTAACACTTAAAAAAAAGGGTTTCCTTTCCAATAGAGAGGGAGGTAGGAAGGGGCACAAGAGAAGATGATAGTGTTTACCAGCATTTCTACATTAACTCAAACATTAATATCAGAGAAACAAAGGAACTATATTGGAAAGACTTCTTGAATGTCAGTAACAGAAAACCATAATTATTCACAGATTTTTTTATTAGAATGTATTCACTGACTAAAGGAAATTAAACCCTCACATTGGACTATTCTAGAAACCCTCATTTAACATGTCAGATAAAACTTCACAATTGTCAGGAAATGACAATGCTKACTAGATTTTTGTTTGTTAAAAGCTTTGATCTACATGATATCAGGGTCATTGCAAAATCCCAAACAAGTCAGGACTGGCTATTGACTCTACAGAAGAAAAATAAAATAGGCTAAACTTAAGATTAAATCAGATAGATAAAATCTCATGAAATCCTGTTCATAATGCACTAACCCTGAMAAACACTGTCCATTTTCCAAGAGACAAGAAGTAAGCAGAAGAAAGAAAGGAATGTGAATATAAATTTCAGCTGGGTTTTTTAAAAGGCTAAAGTAGTCCCGAGAAATTTTGGCAAGCAAAGCAACGTTTTCCAGAATTCAGACTAATAAAAGCCCAAATAAACAACTCTACACTTCCTCCCATTTATTATCTAGAAAGTCTTTTAGAAAGCAAAGTTTGGATGCACAAGGAATCTTTCAATCTTTTAAATATTCCTACATCTTACAGTTAAAGTATGAGTAAGTGCTGATAATAAATGATCATTTAAGAGCCCTTTTTGTGTTTTGTTTTCAATCATAGGCATTTGCAGAGTGCTTACACAAAATAAATTTCTGATTCTGTAACACTTAGTTTTACCTTTACTTTAGGTGTCCAGATTTTAGAGACTTGCAAAAGCCTTTCATTTTGTTTCTTTAGTACTTCTTTCAGTTCCTCTGCATCACAGTGAGYTCCTGAACAAGCTTCCCAGAACTGTATTGTTTCTTTTCTAGCACTTTCTTGCTGCTGTAACTCTCCTTCTATGCAGAGAAGTTCATGTTCCATTTCTGATATGTCTTTGAGAATGCTCTTAAAAAAAAGGGAATTAAAATTTAAATACTGGTTTGATTATCACATGTCTAAATATACACCTTTTGTCCTCTCAGCTATCAATACAGCAGGAAGTCTGTTTCAGCATCTAATTATCATATGAAAGGAGTTTTGCTATACTTAAAATTAAACCCTATTGGGAAAGCAAGAAGACAATCTTCATTCCTGGGGCAGATGGGAAGGGAGGAAAAAAGGTGCTTATTAGCAAAACTTTAATTTTAGAAYAAGTAATCTTGGTATTATGTAGTATGTATTTTGTAGGGCAAATAATTAAACAACATTCCCACTATTTTCTAACCTATTAATCTTATTTTCAGTCACTTTACAAAATCCTCATATTATACAACTAGTAGCATTAAAAAGTACTAGTTCTATTCCTTCATCCCCCTTAAGTGAAGTTTTAACAGAGAAACCTAGTGCCATTTGATTCCCACCCCCACATGACCCCATGCCTTGAAACATGAGTCTTTGTTGTTTTTTCTTCAAATATTACCTCTGCATCCAAGTGGAAATTTTGCAGCCCTTCACTGTTGTTTAACTCTTGAGATGATGCTTCATCTTGCTTCAAATAAATCTTCCTGAGATATTGAGTCTGGGATTGTAGGTGATCTTGTTTTCTCTTTTCCTCAAGCAATTTCATTTTATACTTGTTAACAGTAGTATGRTATTGTTCTTTCTTTGCACAAACAGAACTGAACAGGAGCTGTTGTAGAAGCACAGGAAGCATCAGTGAGCATGCTTTAAAATGGTACCCTGCATCCAGCTAAAATCCTGTATTTTATAATTCAATCTGTTTACTCTGTGAGCCTATAAATGTCCAAGATAGCTAACACATGACTGAGAAAACTGGGTTCACATGTGCATTACAGTAATGGCATAAAAGCCTCTAGCTGAGACAGCACTTTTCCAGTACACTATTTTTTGTAGACTCCAAAAAAAGCCAAAAAGTTTAAAAGGCTCTAGACAGCCTTGCACAAATSTAGACTTTGAAAAGCAAAGTATTGTTGGTTATATTTATTTTCTCTTAGAGTTGTGAAAGGTGCAGATGATGTATGAGAATAATATCACTATGCTGATTTAAAACTTTATTCCAGCAGAGATGATTTGTTAAATTTAAGCATCTTTAATAATGAAAGTTAAAAGCCTCTGGGGAAAAAATTAAAATCACAGCACTAAGTTATGAAAAGAGGCTTTTTGGAATATTAGTTCAACTTCTCTGTTAATGGATATTTACAGACATAACTGACTCTCAGGAACCTCACCCCCTCTTCTCCAGGCCTGTACACATTTCCCCCCACTGCTTCAATTGAAAAAAAAAAAATACCCCATTCCTTAATATTTCAAAGTAAATGAAGAAATAGAAAAAACTTTATTATTTACTTCTGCATATGATAACAGGAATTCCCTCCCAACTACCCTTAACCTTTTTGCTGATAGTTTTAGTCCAATGGAGAAACTGATTCCAAACTGGGGCAGATCTGCAAGGCTGCAAAATCATCAAACTACTTGGGTAGTTTTGCAGAGTGAGCATGCATTTCCCCCACAAAGAAATACATACTTAGTCATCTATAAATTCATTTATAGAATTAGAATACAGGAAGAAAACTCCAATTCCCAAATAAAATGGAATAGTATTACTAAATAATACTGTGCAAAGCAGCTAAACTACAGTTAAAAATTAACTTTGATTAACATAATTAAGTAGTTCCAGTTTTCTAAGATTGTAAAGCAATTATGATCAACTTATTTTCTAAARTGCATGTATTCTCAAAAATCRAAGCCAGAGTATATAAAATCATTAYTGTYACCATTGAGAGATTATTAAAAAAACACCASAAACCCAAACCCAAGGGATATGAAGCATCCACATTTTAAGTTGGTACCTTCAGTTTCATAAATAACTTCTGGAGACGACTGTTCACATCCTCATTCTTAGTTTGGAGGGTTTTGACTTGTTTACTCTGCTCCAAAGTAAGCTGTGGCAGTATCACAGCCAGCAGTGCTTTCTGACTATTCAATTCACTCTGTAGCTTAAGAGATGYTGTAGAGAGACATTCATATCTCTTCCCCATATTTGGGAATTTCTCCAGAAGCTCCTAAATGCAAGTGAAACAAATTAATTTATTCACAATAAGGAAAAGTGTAATTATCTATAAACAGAAACATAAAATAAATGAACTGACCCCAGGACTAACCCCTACGGTATGTATTGGTTTTATAACAGGAAAGCTACTAGGATTAAGATTTCAGTTTTGACTTRCCACAGGGGCATGACAAAAAACACTAATCTAGGCACAAAAGCAGATAAATTCATAGTTTTCCAGCAAGGCACTTCACAAGCTCAAATTGTCTTTGTTTAGATTGTCTGGCCACATCAAGACTTGTAGGTCAGGCATGAAAAGAAATTGTTACTTATTCACAAGTTTTCCAGCTGGCCTTCCCTCAGGATGGACTCCAAAGTTTATCTACTTGTCCTTTCTTGAAGGAAAGGGCTCATGAGGCTGTTCCTAGCACTCTGCCCTGAAAAGCAGGCTCAGTAATGGTACAAGCTTGAAGACCCACTAAATTGCAACTCCATCAACATGCTTAATCATGTCTATGTTATACATTTTAAAATAAGTATATATGTTCCTTGGGCATACTCCCTCCTTTGTTAGTTCTTACTTGAAAGAACCAAGATTCACCAGTTTTTTTAACTCTCAACCTCATAGTAAAACCATTGGAACACTGGGAAGAGGCAGACAAGATCCTACTTAGTACAGAAGTCAGAAGGGGAGAGTGCCCTTAAAAGGGATCAGCTGATGTTCACTTCCCTCACTATCATCTCCCTGCTGCTGATGTAGAAGTACAGAAAGAATGGAGAAAGTGACACATGACGGATTTTTGTAATTTGTTTTTTTACCATTTTGGTGTTCACTGAAGAAGTACTCTGGGCTTCTTTGACCCACATAGAATGGTACCTAAATTTGATGCATATATAGACTGCAGTACAATAATACTGCACTTTAAAGTGTGTCCTTTACCTTCATAAATCCTGGTCATCACACTGATAAATCCTGGTTTAATTTGGCTTTCTGTCAATTGCTAGCACTTACACCTTTGTCAAAGTGTACTCAAGACAGCTAAYTAACAAAAGGTCTGAAGAATTCATGTTTTGAGGGCAGAAGTGCTTTAATGAAATTTATTGATTTGATACTAATTTATTATTTGATGGGGAAAAAAGGAAGGGAGGATTTTTATAAAACCAAAGTRGCAAAATGCTACTGTCTGGGGTTCAACAAGGCAAAGTGCCACAACCCCCGCCATGCAGGGCTACAGGCTGGAAAGCTTCCAGTCAGGAAAGGCCCTGGGGATGCTGATCAACAGCTGGCAGAAGTGTGCCCAAGTGGCCAAGAAGGCCAATGGCATCCTGGCTTGTGTCAGGTGGCTAGCAGGACTAGGAAAGGGAACAGCACTAGCAAGGAAAGGGAACAGCACTAGCAAGGTCACACCTCGAATCCTATGTTCAGTTTTGGGCCCCTCACTRCAAGGATGTGGAGATGCTGGTGTGAGTCCTGAGAAGGGCAATGGAGCTGGGGAAGAGTTTGGAGCACAAGTCCTGTGAGGAGGGGCTGAGGGAGCTGGGGTTGTTCTGCCTGTAGAAAAGGAGGTTCAGGGGAGACCTCATCAATCTACAGCTCCCTGACAGGAGGCTGTGCCAGGTGGGGATCGGCCTCTTCTCTCCAGTAACAAGTGATAAGTTGCACTGGGGGAGGTTTAGACTGGTTATTAGGAAAAATTCTCAGCAGAAAGGGCTGTCAAGTATTGGAACAGGTTGCCCAGGGAAGTGGTGCAATCACCATCCCCAGAGCTCCTTAAGAGATATGTACATCTGGCACTTAGGGACATTGTTTAGCAGTGACYATGGCAGTGATTGTTCAAGGGTTGAAATCCATAATCTAAGAGGTTTTTTCTACCAAAAATGATTCTGTGATTTTCATTGGGGTGGCTGGACAGAAAGCAAGTGAGATGTTTTGTGAACATTAAACTGAGCTTCTCAGGTGACACAAGATGTGCAACAGCAAATCAACTGATCCCATGGTGTACAGCACAGTAGCAAGATATCCAAACCATTYTATACACAATGCACAMAAGTAKCATTAGGTTTCTACATCCATCCTCWAAACAAGCAGAAAAATAAGCTTAGCTTAGTTTTCAAGGCTCTTTCTTTCAGCCTATGATGAGACATCTGCTCTGCTATATCCATTGGGCTTACCTGAATGGACATGTGATTCAGGTTTCTCTGCTTCAGTTGTTCTAATGCACATTCCAGTTTAGCATTTGTTTCAGCACCCTAAAATGAAAGCACAAACGTTTAAGTACCATTCAAGAAGAGAAGTTACTCCTAAGTCAGGTATGCACATAGGAACTCTCACCATCTCAGAATTTCTTTGCAATTCTGCCTTGAGCTGGTCCCGTTCTGAACTGACATCCTGGAGAAGTTTTTTTAGCTCATCTTTTTCTTGATTAACTGATGAGATTTGTTCTTCAAGTTGGGAAGAGTGTCGAGTTTCAGCTAATAACTGGTCCTTCTCACATGATATACTATTTAGTGTCTCAGTTAATTGTTGAATCTACAAAAAAGAGTGGAGAAAAACACAAATCACAATTTGTTGGTGGTCTTTATACACCCTATGAAATATCCAAATCAGTTGTCTAAAACACAGAGAACACAATTTTTAATTTCTAAAATTCACACTAGCATCAAGAAAAGTTAAAAAAAATTTTGTTTTTCTAATAATTCAGAATTTATAAGGAAGAATAGCATGATGCCCAAAAAAAAGTCTACTCCATTCAACTTTGTGGATTTTAAAGAAAGAATATATGTACAATTACTGATTGTTACATTAAATCTGCACTCATTTGAAAAATGGACAGTGATTCCAAAGATGGAATCCAATCCAATGGATTATGAAGCTGAAGACAAGTTAAGGATGCTACTATTAAACATCAATGAATAAACTGGACAAAATCCTTTTCTTCACGTTCATGACCATTTGAGAACCATAAAAATGATGCACTGGGAATTAAAAATTAAACAGGGTTTGTGTTGAGCAAAAGTTCAGCACATCGGTAATAAAACATTAGAATACAACATTGGGACCAAACACCAAAACTYACCTYGTTTGTTAGGCTGTCCTTCAAAATCTCTGACTGCCTCTGAACCTTTAACAAATGTTCTTCCCTTTCCTTACAAGTGTCTASCATTTGCTGTAGCTCMTCYTTCTCCTTGTTAAGTAAAGTAATTTTCTCAAGCTGCTGACAGACTTGCTCCTCCATTGTTCTTTCAGTTTGCTCCTTTTCTGCCAGTAGCTTGCCATATTCAGCTGAGACACGAGTCAGGTTTTCAGTGACTTCAGTGAGCTGGAAAAAACAAGTCAAAACCAGTGTTGATATTTGTAATCACTTCATCATGGGCAGAAATAACCTGACACTTTGGAGAAAAAAGAACAAGTAACATTCTCTAAGTTACTAAGTTTTCTTGTCCTAGCAATCAGGATGCAATTTAATAGTGTTCTTGGATCATCTTTCAGAAGCACACAGTCGGTACATATAGGTTGTTATAATTGCATTATTTTGAGGAAGACATCCCCATGCAAGGCATTCAACATCCAAAGAAATGCCTCAGGTGCTATATCCACAGTAGATAGGAGACATTACTGAGTGGTATAAATGAAGCCTAAAAGCCACACAAGCTTCAGACACAAAAACAGTAAGAAATTTATAGTAATTAATAAATAGTAAGAAATTTAATTGGCAGCAAATTAAGAATTGCCTTAAAGTTGTTCAAGTATCTTCAAAATTATACAACTACAGCACATTATGAGAATGTAAAAAAAAATTTAAGGCTGGGAAAAAGCACAGAGGTCAAAGTATTGTAGATTCCAAACACTATTCAGTCGTTCAGCACCAAGACATATTTTGTTATAAAGAGTGTGTTTACTACATTTATTTTAGCTCTACAAACTGAAGTTTGCAGAAGATATGTGATACCAAACCAAACAGAACTTTCAGTTTTCTTGACAAAACTGCTTCTGACCTTCTGCTGCAGTTCGTCACTTTGTTCCTTCAATTCCTCTTGTGCCTTCCAGAGCTGATTTTCTTTCTCTGAAATATTTCCTTTCAGCTCCACAATCATCTCCTGATGTTGTCCAAGAGATTCACGAGTACATCTCAACTCCTCCTGCATCTCCGAGTTCTTTGGACACAATCAAAGTCCATTAACACCTGAACAACACTTCCAAAATCTAACACAGAAATGTACCAAAGTTATTCACCCACAGCAATAGGACTATCTTAATTACCTTGCTAATTGTTTCCTGTAGAGTTTCTCTTAGCTGGTCTCTCTCATTCTGGAGATTTTCCAGTTGCATTTTCAAATCCTCATCTTCTCTTTCTGTCTGGGTGTTCACATCCTGGGAGTCAAGTGGTTTTGGAGTAACATCTGTTGTCTCCATTCTTTCAGATTCTCCTTGATGTTCATTGGCCTTTGCCTCCTCCATTTCGTGCAATCTCCTTTGTGCCTGGCTCAGCTCTTCTCTCAGGTGAAATAACTCTTGCTCCATAGACTGTACTTGAATCTGTGGTATCTGTTTTATAAGAGATACGAGTCAACACATTCAGGAAGTAGCATGAGGAAAAACTAATCTGAACCCTTTGACAGACTGGTTACTTAAAATAAAGAGACCCACTGCTATAAAAAACACACACACAGAGGTTTAATCAGCACATCAAATTACTGGAAGTGTTGGTTGTGATGCCCCTTTCACTGCCAGGATAAAACTCAGTTCTAGCTATGCTTTAAAAAAGCACCATTATCCTTTTCAGACGAGGCATTTTTAGCTTCAGCTATATAACTATAAATCATTTCTGTGCAGATCAGTACACATCATCACCATCCCGTATCAAGTTAATATTGTATTTACAGTCATATTCTACTACTGGACATCCATCTGTAACAATATCTCAAGTTAACCATAATAAATTCAGAGTTTAATGAGCAACAGTCAAATACCATGACCCGTTTCTGCAGTATGTTTTGTAATTATTTAACTTAACTGAAAGTTTAAATAAGCAAACATTCCATTGCAGCATTAACATAATTACCAAAGCTCCTTCACCAGACTGTTCTTTTTTCAAAAGTAAACTGTCCAGCTTCTCCTGCAATGAACTGTTCTCYTGTGTAAGGAAGATGATTTGTTCCTTTTGCACCTGAAGCTGATCACTTGCTCTGCAGCTGTTTTCTGATTTTTCCAGAGCAAGCTGATCTCTCTCTGATGTGATTATTTTCATTTCTTCTGTCATTTCTGAGATCTATTAAAAATGATACGCAAAGACAGCATTTCCATCAATTCAAAATAAAATTAAATGCTGAAGATTTGTTTGATTCACTCTTCTACAATGTTTTTCACATGTAGCCAGTATAAACAAAGTAGAAAAACTTCCAGAGCAAATCTGTTATTCAGAAAGTGTGCAAAGCACCAAGGATTCAAAACGCACTTAAATTCATTCTGTCTACAGAGTGGGTTTTAAAAACCTGGAATCAGTGTTCAGTTTCKGATTAAATTAAAMCTTCACTCATTTCATAAACWKACATTCACTTGAAAGATGGACCAATCCAATGGATTATGAAGCTGAAGACAAGTTAAGGATGCTACTATTAAACATCAATGAATAAACTTGGACAAAATACTTTCTTCCATGTTCATGAYCATTTAAAAAACATAAAAATGATGCACTGGGAATTAAAAATTAAACAGGGTTTGTGTTGAGCAAAAGTTCAGCACATCAGTAATAAAACATTAGAATACAACATTGGGACCAAACACCAAAACTCACCTTGTTTGTTAGGCTGTCCTTCAAAATCTCTGACTGCCTCTGAACCT